AAGACTCAGAAGGGTGTTTCTCCGCGAATACATGACTTATTTGGATATACTATAGCTCATTCGAAACTACATTAAAAACAGTCTATAAAACTTGTTCTAAGCGGATTCTACAGTAACCCTATCTATTTGAGAAAATTTTTAAATAAAATTTTTTGAATATTTTTTGGGACATGGAAGACTCAGAAGGGTGTTTCTCCGCGAATACATGACTTATTTGGATATACTATAGCTCATTCGAAACTACATTAAAAACAGTCTATAAAACTTGTTCTAAGCGGATTCTACAGTAACCCTATCTATATGAGAAAATTTTTGAAAAAATTTTTTTGAATATTTTTTGGGACATGGAAGACTCAGAGGGGTGTTTCTCCGCGAATACATGACTTATTTGGATATACTATAGCTCATTCGAAACTACATTAAAAAGTCTATAAAACTTGTTCTAAGCGGATTCTACAGTAACCCTATCTATTTGAGAAAATTTTTAAATAAAATTTTTTGAATATTTTTTGGGACATGGAAGACTCAGAAGGGTGTTTCTCCGCGAATACATGACTTATTTGGTATACTATAGCTCATTCGAAACTACATTAAAAACAGTCTATAAAACTTGTTCTAAGCGGATTCTACAGTAACCCTATCTATATGAGAAAATTTTTGAAAAAATTTTTTTGAATATTTTTTGGGACATGGAAGACTCAGAGGGGTGTTTCTCCGCGAATACATGACTTATTTGGATATACTATAGCTCATTCGAAACTACATTAAAAACAGTCTATAAAACTTGTTCTAAGCGGATTCTACAGTAACCCTATCTATTTGAGAAAATTTTTAAATAAAATTTTTTGAATATTTTTTGGGACATGGAAGACTCAGAGGGGTGTTTCTCCGCGAATACATGACTTATTTGGATATACTATAGCTCATTCGAAACTACATTAAAAACAGTCTATAAAACTTGTTCTAAGCGGATTCTACAGTAACCCTATCTATATGAGAAAATTTTTGAAAAAATTTTTTTGAATATTTTTTGGGACATGGAAGACTCAGAGGGGTGTTTCTCCGCGAATACATGACTTATTTGGATATACTATAGCTCATTCGAAACTACATTAAAAACAGTCTATAAAACTTGTTCTAAGCGGATTCTACAGTAACCCTATCTATTTGAGAAAATTTTTAAATAAAATTTTTTGAATATTTTTTGGGACATGGAAGACTCAGAAGGGTGTTTCTCCGCGAATACATGACTTATTTGGATATACTATAGCTCATTCGAAACTACATTAAAAACAGTCTATAAAACTTGTTCTAAGCGGATTCTACAGTAACCCTATCTATTTGAGAAAATTTTTAAATAAAATTTTTTGAATATTTTTTGGGACATGGAAGACTCAGAAGGGTGTTTCTCCGCGAATACATGACTTATTTGGATATACTATAGCTCATTCGAAACTACATTAAAAACAGTCTATAAAACTTGTTCTAAGCGGATTCTACAGTAACCCTATCTATTTGAGAAAATTTTTAAATAAAATTTTTTGAATATTTTTTGGGACATGGAAGACTCAGAAGGGTGTTTCTCCGCGAATACATGACTTATTTGGATATACTATAGCTCATTCGAAACTACATTAAAAACAGTCTATAAAACTTGTTCTAAGCGGATTCTACAGTAACCCTATCTATTTGAGAAAATTTTTAAATAAAATTTTTTGAATATTTTTTGGGACATGGAAGACTCAGAAGGGTGTTTCTCCGCGAATACATGACTTATTTGGATATACTATAGCTCATTCGAAACTACATTAAAAACAGTCTATAAAACTTGTTCTAAGCGGATTCTACAGTAACCCTATCTATATGAGAAAATTTTTGAAAAAATTTTTTTGAATATTTTTTGGGACATGGAAGACTCAGAGGGGTGTTTCTCCGCGAATACATGACTTATTTGGATATACTATAGCTCATTCGAAACTACATTAAAAAGTCTATAAAACTTGTTCTAAGCGGATTCTACAGTAACCCTATCTATTTGAGAAAATTTTTAAATAAAATTTTTTGAATATTTTTTGGGACATGGAAGACTCAGAAGGGTGTTTCTCCGCGAATACATGACTTATTTGGTATACTATAGCTCATTCGAAACTACATTAAAAACAGTCTATAAAACTTGTTCTAAGCGGATTCTACAGTAACCCTATCTATATGAGAAAATTTTTGAAAAAATTTTTTTGAATATTTTTTGGGACATGGAAGACTCAGAGGGGTGTTTCTCCGCGAATACATGACTTATTTGGATATACTATAGCTCATTCGAAACTACATTAAAAACAGTCTATAAAACTTGTTCTAAGCGGATTCTACAGTAACCCTATCTATTTGAGAAAATTTTTAAATAAAATTTTTTGAATATTTTTTGGGACATGGAAGACTCAGAGGGGTGTTTCTCCGCGAATACATGACTTATTTGGATATACTATAGCTCATTCGAAACTACATTAAAAACAGTCTATAAAACTTGTTCTAAGCGGATTCTACAGTAACCCTATCTATTTGAGAAAATTTTTGAAAAAATTTTTTTGAATATTTTTTGGGACATGGAAGACTCAGAAGGGTGTTTCTCCGCGAATACATGACTTATTTGGATATACTATAGCTCATTCGAAACTACATTAAAAACAGTCTATAAAACTTGTTCTAAGCGGATTCTACAGTAACCCTATCTATTTGAGAAAATTTTTGAAAAAATTTTTTTGAATATTTTTTGGGACATGGAAGACTCAGAGGGGTGTTTCTCCGCGAATACATGACTTATTTGGATATACTATAGCTCATTCGAAACTACATTAAAAACAGTCTATAAAACTTGTTCTAAGCGGATTCTACAGTAACCCTATCTATTTGAGAAAATTTTTAAAAAAAATTTTTTGAATATTTTTTGGGACATGGAAGACTCAGAGGGGTGTTTCTCCGCGAATACATGACTTATTTGGATATACTATAGCTCATTCGAAACTACATTAAAAACAGTCTATAAAACTTGTTCTAAGCGGATTCTACAGTAACCCTATCTATTTGAGAAAATTTTTGAAAAAATTTTTTTGAATATTTTTTGGGACATGGAAGACTCAGAGGGGTGTTTCTCCGCGAATACATGACTTATTTGGATATACTATAGCTCATTCGAAACTACATTAAAAACAGTCTATAAAACTTGTTCTAAGCGGATTCTACAGTAACCCTATCTATTTGAGAAAATTTTTGAAAAAATTTTTTTGAATATTTTTTGGGACATGGAAGACTCAGAGGGGTGTTTCTCCGCGAATACATGACTTATTTGGATATACTATAGCTCATTCGAAACTACATTAAAAACAGTCTATAAAACTTGTTCTAAGCGGATTCTACAGTAACCCTATCTATTTGAGAAAATTTTTAAAAAAAATTTTTTGAATATTTTTTGGGACATGGAAGACTCAGAGGGGTGTTTCTCCGCGAATACATGACTTATTTGGATATACTATAGCTCATTCGAAACTACATTAAAAACAGTCTATAAAACTTGTTCTAAGCGGATTCTACATTAACCCTATCTATTTGAGAAAATTTTTGAAAAAATTTTTTTGAATATTTTTTGGGACATGGAAGACTCAGAGGGGTGTTTCTCCGCGAATACATGACTTATTTGGATATACTATAGCTCATTCGAAACTACATTAAAAACAGTCTATAAAACTTGTTCTAAGCGGATTCTACAGTAACCCTATCTATTTGAGAAAATTTTTGAAAAAATTTTTTTGAATATTTTTTGGGACATGGAAGACTCAGAGGGGTGTTTCTCCGCGAATACATGACTTATTTGGATATACTATAGCTCATTCGAAACTACATTAAAAACAGTCTATAAAACTTGTTCTAAGCGGATTCTACAGTAACCCTATCTATTTGAGAAAATTTTTAAAAAAAATTTTTTGAATATTTTTTGGGACATGGAAGACTCAGAGGGGTGTTTCTCCGCGAATACATGACTTATTTGGATATACTATAGCTCATTCGAAACTACATTAAAAACAGTCTATAAAACTTGTTCTAAGCGGATTCTACAGTAACCCTATCTATTTGAGAAAATTTTTAAAAAAAATTTTTTGAATATTTTTTGGGACATGGAAGACTCAGAGGGGTGTTTCTCCGCGAATACATGACTTATTTGGATATACTATAGCTCATTCGAAACTACATTAAAAACAGTCTATAAAACTTGTTCTAAGCGGATTCTACAGTAACCCTATCTATTTGAGAAAATTTTTAAAAAAAATTTTTTGAATATTTTTTGGGACATGGAAGACTCAGAGGGGTGTCCAAATGTGATGCGAATTCGTGATGCCATGAAGCTTTGAATTGTATGAGTGCCAAATAATTTTCGATATACATCAATTTTGGATCACTACTTTTGAATAACTTATTGTAAACAAGAAGGCAGCAGGATTCTGATACAGTTTTTTATGCTCTTTCGAATGAGCTATATATCAGCCAAATGTGATGCGAATTCGTGATGCCATGAAGCTTTGAAGTGTATGAGTGCCAAATAATTTTCGATATACATCAATTTTGGATCACTACTTTTGAATAACTTATTGTAAACAAGAAGGCAGCAGGATTCTGATACAGTTTTTTATCCCTAAAAATGGTGAACCGAATTTATATACTTTCAATACTCCAAAGTTATAATCCCTGGAAGAAAAACCCCTAAATTAATTATAATTATTTTTAAAATATTGGGGTAAAACAAAATTTTTTTCAAAAATTTTATCTTTTATAGAGTATCGATAGCTCATTTGAAAGTACATTTAAAGGTGTCCCTAAAAATGGTGAACCGAATTAATATACTTTCAATACCCCAAAGTTATAATCCCCCCCCCCCCCCCCCCCCCCCGTTTTTGGGGTTTGTTCCAAAAATGGAGCTTGTTGGAGAAAAAAAAATTTCCGGTACATAATTTTATCAATTTTATAAAAAAGATTTACAAAAAAAAATAATTTTATATATTAAAGAAACACAGGTTGATCTGGCCTTAAAGCCCTCAGCCTCCTTAAATATTCAGCATCTCTTAAAAAATCTGACTGAAAACTGTTATGTCTCATTGTAGAAAGTGTTGAACTTAGGGTGTTTTCGTCGATGAACCGCAACTGGATTAAAAATATATTATTATTCATTTTTTAAGGCGACTCTAGGGCTAAAGTGGAGCTACTGGTTTTTATAGGTCAAATATCATGGTCACACATTAGTGTGCTAATGTGTAGGGTTCTTGGATATTACCCCCCTAATATCTTCCCCCATTGTTGGATGATTATATAAGTGTCGGGGTTCTAAATGTCAGATAAATGTCGCGGCCTGAAATATTGGATGTCTCAAAGATCGACACTTTAACATGACATTTTTAAATCCCGGTCCGAAAGTAGGAGGTTTAAAAAACCATCTTTACCTTTCTTAATAATTCGTGTGGTTCATAAGCTCTATTATAAAGCTCATTTTCCAAAAAATTGCAGACATCGTCCAAAGTTATCTTCAAAAAATTAAATTGTCTTTTGGAAATTGAAATTTTAAAACCTTTCCATGCTTTTTCCTTTTTAACACCCCCAATAAAGTAACAATTTCCCTCAATTCCTCACTCATCCCCAAAAATCTTTTTGCTCGTCCAAAATAATGAATTTTTGCAAAATAATTTTTTAAATGGGTTGAGGCCTTTTTAATTTTTAAAAAATAATTTTACTATTTTTTCAAATATTTTTACCAAATCAACACACATAGTTACAACGGCTAGACCTATAAATTATTAATTTGAGGAATAATTAGTTCAAAATTTGTTTGAACAGACCAACAATAACAAAGGCTACAATTAATGAGAGAAATAAGTAGTCGGTAACTACAATATCTCCAAGTCTGTAAAATAATTTTTCGGATATTTCATAGTTAGTTAAATTAGAAATCGGACTTGGAGGTTTTTTAAATAGAATATAGGATTTTTAGAATATTTAATTTATATCATGAGGAAGATGAAGGGAATCAAGAGATATCTCACGATATCCTCTTAATCCCCCCCAATCAGCCGATACCCTCTTAATCCCCAAATCCTCTTAATCTAACGGTACCCTTTTACTCCAACAAAATGCGAAAATCTCGAAAAATTATCTTGCGAGAAATGTTTTCTAATATATCTTTATCTATCTTTCTCTAATGTACGAGATATCTAAGGTATCAAGATTTTGGTTCATGATCTCGTCTTGATCCGATCTCCAATTTAAATATCCAAAACAGACCCAACAGTAACAATAAGATTAAATCCAAAATGGAAAGAATGAATGAAAGACCATTTTTCCTCCCAATTCATAAACATAATTGAGCCGAATGAGCAATAAACACAAATACATAGAACATAGGCACCTTTAAATATTTCTTTAATTAAATTTTCTAGGGGTTCAAGGACCTATAGGAAACCACAAATTTGTATCATCCTTTGCTAAAAATTAAAAAAAAATTTTTTCAAATAAAATAAAATTAATTAACAGCCAATATCTGCCAATTCAAGAGCTCCAAGCGACACACTAATGGATTGCAGAGACTTCCGTCTAAGCTTCCCACTTTTCTGAGCATAAAACAAATCGTAGGCTATCCGCTTAAATTGCAAAAAAAAATTTTGAATTTTCAAAATTTTTCTTGTTACTTTCACTCTTCTAGTCATCAACTTCCATTCAGCTATAATTCTTAAAAGCGTATCAGAAAGAAATTTTCCAATATCTGCTGCAGTTATGAACATAAGGGGAATACCAACTAGTGCAAATATAACAGAAAATATTTTTCCGACATCTGTATTCACCGAGACCTCAGAATATCCTTTAAAAATATTTAAATAAGATCTTGTTACATAATTGTATGTAGGTCGCTTAGGCTGAGTGTGTCGGGTACATGATTTTCGAATTGAATCGGGGCAGGTTTCGTTCAGGACATGGGTTAAAAAATTTTAATTAAAAAATGTTCGAGGAATTTGGAGATATCGAGGGATTTGGGGCGATATTTGGGGATATGAGGGCTTTTAGTTAGGATTTCATGCACAAAATTACAATAAAGTTTGAGTAAAAACCTACCACAAGTTGTTAACACAGTTAACACATAGAGCACTAAAAATATAAAAATAAGATTACAATTACAAAATTAAAAAAAACAGACAAGCTGTAGGAAAGGTCCATTTGTTGTGAATATTATCAAGGCGTTCCGGAGCTAGAAGTTCTTGTTGGATCGGCCTCCTAAAAATTTTTTTAATTTTTAGTGGATTTTAGAGTGTTATTGAAACAAGTTTCTTGCCTCTCATCCACTTCTTGAGCCACCTTAACCATATAATCGCGGAACACAATAGCCCAGTTTTCCGGATTATTTATTGTTTTGTTGCTTCCGAACTGTGTTTTAGAAGAAAAGATATTTTTTTAATTTTAGAAAAAATTTTCTAACAATTTTCCAGCTTTCTATAGTAAAATTCTCTATCATATTATTAAGCCGAACAAGTTTTCGAGAACGTGCTACCAATTCTGTTCGAGTTTCTAAGGCCTGAAGTATACTTGCACCTAGGCATAGGTAGCCAATAAGGACAGCAACTAGTACAATGTGTGGCACGAGGATTTTGATGTACTTAAGTTGGATAATTAATTTTATTTTTTAGGGTTTTTCAAAGTGTTCATACATATGTTCGATTAAAATTTAAAAAAATTTCAGGAAAAAATTTTTTCCTGAAATTTAAAAAATTTTTGTAAAAATTTTCTTGAAAATTTTTGAAAATTAAAAAAATTCTTTGAAAATTTTTGGAAAATTTTTAAAAATTACAAAAATTTTTTTAAAATTTCCGTAAAATTTTTTAAAAAATTTTATAATTATTCTGTACCAGAAATCTATTCTTAACCCACCTTAATAATTTTTTGAGTGCAAGTTAACGGTGCTTTCCCCTCCTCATCTCCCTCAAGTTGAGAGGTTAACAGAGTCCCTACATCATCTCCATCCAACAAATTTTGTTGTTTAGGCATTGGAAACCCTTCCCAACGTGCCGTTATATTGTCTGGAATAATTGAATATTTTTTATCATTTTTTATCAAATTATTATCAATTTTTATAGAAATTGTGTTTATTTGTTTATTATTTATTTTTGAAAGTTTTTGGATGGTTCTAATATTCATTTTTTATTAAAAAATATTTTTGGCATTTTTAACTCATTTTAGCCCGTTAAATACTCATTTTAGTAATTATTTCTAAATTCCTTATACCTGAATTAACCTTTTATGAATTATTTTTAGTATGTAAAGGTTAATTAAAGGTATTTTTAGGTAAAAGCTGCATAACTCTAAAAATTATAGTACATTTTATAAGGAATTTTAAAGATTTCCGTATGAATAGTCTTAGGCATATTTTAGGAACTTGAAAAAAAATTTTTTTTAATTCCTGACTAAAAATAAAAGATAGAAGATATAATTAAAAAAACAAAAAAAAATCATAAGAATTATTTTAATACGAAAATCCAATTTCGTTTGCAAATACCAGGGCTATTTATGGAATACCATATCCACTGATACGGATAGATATGGATAATATTTTTTTAAAAATCGAACGGATACGGATATATACGGATATGATGCTTTAAATTTACGGATATCCGTCCGTAATCTTTCCGATGGATATTCCAAATACTCATTAAAAATTCCAAAAAACCTCTAAAATGCATAAAAGGCCAGAAAGGGTGTAAACTAATATTTATAGGGGTTTGTTTAAGTATTTGAGTTGAGGATGTTGGTTGTTGTTGTTGTTGCCAGCCGGCATAAGACGATTTCCTTCTATTGTGATTATATAGATGATTGTATGGATATTCATTAGGTGAATTTGTTGCTGAATTATTTTTTGAAAATATTTTTTGTTGAGGAAATGGAGTTTGGCTTTAACTGAGGGGGATACTTAATGGAAACTCCCAATCAAATGCCTCCTTAGACCACCAATTCCTCCTTAGAGTGGAGGTTTACAAGGAGAATAATGAGAAAAAATGCCCCCAAATGCCCCCTTCCATCTCCTCTAATTCCTTAAAGTTGGGGTATAGGAGGATAATAATTTTTGGAGGAACGATTAAGGAATGTTGCAGTTAACTATGCTTATGCGTGAAAAGGTGAGTAAAAAATAGAGCGGCCCAGAAGGGGTAGTAAAATTGAAAAAAATTTGAGTACCATTTTGTTGTTCGCTTAACTGAGTATGGAAAATAGGCTTTTGATGAGTTCTGGATATTTTGCGGGGATTTTGACTTTTATTATTATTAATGTCAATTAGAGGTTTATCCAGTTTTTCTGATTTTTCCATATTTTTTTGGAATTATTGTATGGTATTTAGGTCGGTATTAAGTTAGGTAATGAAGCATTAAAACTGGAAAAATAAATTTTTAAAAAGATATTTTGGATGGTGAAGGATTCAAAAAAAATTTTCAAAAAATTTTAAAGAAAATTTGAAAAAATCAATTAATTTTCAAAAATTGATTTTTGACTTTTTCAAGTTTAAAAAGCCTTTTTTCAGTGCAAATAAACTCAATTTTTTATTTACACCAATTTACAAACAATTGTGTCCAAAAATTTATTTTTCAATTCAGTAAATGCTTCACTCTTTTAAATAAAACTTTCTCCCTCTGTGCCTATAAAATACTCATTTAAAAAATGCGCTGTTGGAGTTTTTGCCAATTTTTTAATTTTAAAAAATTGCTTTTTATATATAAACTCTTGAATTCTACTAAAAATACTTTTGCTAGTTAAAGAGGCGAAAAATATTTTTTATTGTAGTTGCTGATTTCCTTATAAGGATATATGGTGATATAGGTAGACAGTAGTGTTAAGCCAGAAGTTTCAGTTCCAGATCGGGTCAAAGTTGCGTCTCCGACGAACACAAGTAGACAGACCTTCTTTCCGGGGCGTTAACACTTCGGGTAACCCTTCTTTTGGCCTTTTATGCATTTAATAGTTTAATGGATTCAAAATAAATATGCATTAAATAAAAATATAAATATGAAAAAATTACAAAATTTATTAAGGTTCTAAAGGAAGATTTATTGAACTAATTAATACGTAGGTAATAAAGCCTAATTAATACCAAACTAATGGTCATCTAATGAATAATTTCAAAATTTTTTTTCGAAATTTCTAGAGTTATGCAGCTTGTCTAAACTCTTTATTGTATAAAATATTTTTAATAAAATATAGTTAAAATTTCTTGAAACAAAACTATTTTTGGTTAAAATTGGTCAAGATTATAGCGAATTATGATTGTTTAAAATTAGCAATTTTTTAAAAATTCTTTAGAAATAATTTAATTAAATTGAGGAAATAAAAAAAGAAGAAAGAATAATATTAAAATATATTTTAGGGATAAAATTGAATTAAAATAAATAAAGATTAGGGAACAAATAAAGAAACAATTAAATAACGTAGCATTTTAGGGCTATAATTAGAATAAAAATTAAATTAAAAAAATATAATTTGTTTCAAAAAATTTTTTAAATCAATATCACATCTGGCACTCCAAAAATAAATTTAAAATAAAAAAACAAATAAAAAACCTTTCATTGTCGATGACATGTTTATTAGACAGAATTAAGTGTTAGGCAATATTTTTGAGGGGGATTAGCTTTAAGCCTTTTAAAAAATAAACGAAAAAATGGAGACTGAAGAAGAATATTCTCTCAAATTTGTAAAATACCTTAGGAAAGAATTTATTTTTAGAAAAAAATATTTTTTTTAATTTTTGAGAGATTGAAGAAATTTGAACCTTGAAGGGGCATTCTTAAAGAGGAATGCTTTTTATTTTTTATTTTTATTTTTTGTTCAAAAATGCATAGAGTAAAAATAAAAAGTGATTTTTGTGTTTATATGTTTTCCTTTTTAAGTAACATAAATAAAAAAAATTTTTTGGATTTTAAAAATATTTTTTATACCTTAAAGAAAGGGATAAAAATAGGCTGATCTTTGTAATTTAAAAATATACAAAATTAAAAAATTTTAGATAAAATTAAACTATTTAACTAATTTATAGCCAAGAAAATGGGCTATCTTTCATAAAAAAATTAAAATTTTATATCATTTTTAAAAAAAGTTATGATTTTTTAAGTGTACGCACGTAGCATTACATATTAGGAATTTATTAAGAAAATTAGTAAACTAAAACCAGAATTTTAAAGTATCAGAATTAATTTTCAGAATTATTAATTTATTAGAATTATTATCAGAATTTAAGTAGCAGAATTAATTTTTAGAAAATTTAATTTATCAGAATTATTATCAGAATTTAAGTATCAGAATTATTTTATCAGAATTATAATCAGAATTTAGGTATCAGAATTATTTTCAGAATATTTAATTTAGCATATTATTTTCAGAATTTGAATGTCAGAAGTTAAGTATCAGAATTATTATCAGAATATTTAATTTATCAGAATTCTTTTCAGAATTTAAATATCAGAATTTAAATATCAGAATATAAGTATCAGGATTAATTTTCAGAATTCATTCTGATTATTATATTAAATTAAAATGCATACCAATCAGAATACGCCCATCTTCCTGTATTGTAATTGTAGGCCTTCTAAGCACTATAGTTCTAACAGTTTGTGTAGATGTTGCTGTATTAGGGAATACTTTACTGTTGCTTGTTCGATGTTTTTTATTTATATTTAAATTATTATTATTAGCTAAATTTGCCATTCCTGCCAATTCTTGTGAGGAAATACTTTTTTCCATTGAGGAGGAGGAAACGAGGATTGAAGGGGGGATTTGTTGTTGCTGAGGGAGGTTATTGTTTTGGGTATCTTGTTCTTCCATTTGTAAGAGGAGAGGGGTGGATTCGTTGGATTGACCATCTTCAGGTTCCAGAACCTTTAAAATGGAAAAATTTGGAAACCAGACAGAATGCCAAAAATATGTAGTGTAAAAAAATTTAAAAATTGAAAGAACGCCAAAATTTTTTTCTAGTGACATAACGCCAAAGATTTCTAAAAATTAACAGAACGCCAAAAATAATTTTAAAAAATTCCAAAAATATTTTTTCCAAAATTTAACCTCCACTTTAAGCAAAGATTGAGGTGAAAATACTTCAGCCAGTTGCTGTCTAAGCGCTGCCTCAACAGCAACATCTGGCTAAAAATCAAAAAACATATTAAATTACTTTATTTTTTAACACCTGTCCAAGTGTTGAACGCCTTCGCGGTTGGACTGGTTTTTGCAATGGAGAATGAAAAAACATTCCAGAGCGGCGGAAGGATTGCCTGGTGAAGAAATGGGGAATTTTTGAAGGTTTTGGCATTTTTGGCGGTTGTGGCAATTTTTAGGGGATTTTTTTGAATTTTGGGGATTTTTGGGGTTTTCTGGACTTTTTTTGGAATTTTTTTATAATTTTTGAAGTCTTATAGTTTATAAAAAACGTTGGGAGATTTTTTGAAGATTTTAAAAAATATTTTAACAATAATTTGGAAAAGCAGGGCTATTGAAGGACAATTAAAAAATATTTCCCCTCCCTCCCCCATTGTCTAAAAAATTAAATAAGGGCACTTATCCACCTACCAATTAATTTTTTTATTAAATTTAAAAATGTACTTGTCTAATTATTTTTTGAAATAAAATTTTATTTTTTTAAATCCACTTTAATTAATTGTACATATTTTTGGGAGAGTATATTTTGATATTGAAAGACAACAAATTGGGCAAAAAAATTTTTTTGGAAGGGAAAGAACTGCTTTTTCGATAGTTGCTTTTTTATTTTTTTTATTTTTTCAATCCTATATATCCAAACAAAAATCTTCTCTCTTTTGCTTTTTGGTGCTTTTGGCATTTGGCAAGCCCCATCTTTTTTGTTGTTAAATTTAACTAAAAACGGAAGCTTCCAATTTCTTGCAAAAAAATTTTTTTTGGATAAAAATAAAAAAAGAGAATTTAGGAAAGAAAGAAATTTTTGAGTTATTAACTAGGTAGGTATCAATCTAATCCCTATAGACTTTAAATTTTTTGATTTATTAAGTTTGGTGACAAATAAATTTAACTAGCCGTTAAAGCAACTCAGAAAAATTACTGTGGCCAAAATCCGCTGGATTATTAAGAGAAAGGAGTAATTTAGTATGTTTTATTTTAAACACAGTCTGACCTCTCTATAGTGTCACGGACTTTACAATAATGATATCTTTAGGATACTACATAGAAAGATTAAATTAAACCGAGAGTGAAGTAGATGGAGTGTTAGATTAGACGGAAGTGAACCAAAAATTTTAAGAAAAATCTGACGTAAAAGGGAGGGTGAGATACAAGAACAGAGACACTATAGCGAGGTCTGATTGTTCAAAAAGTGTTTAAAAAATTTCCCTGGACAAATAACTGCCAGCGGGTATGAATCAGGGCTGTGCGCCAATATCAACGCTAATTTTTCAAATTTTTAAAACACGCCAAAAGCAAAACGCCAGACGCCGAACGCCATGACGCTCAGCTCGTGTATGAATAACTGACACCTATACCGGTTGATAATAATTGTCAAAATTTTTTCTTTAAAATTTCCTACCGGTTTTGTAATGAAGCATTTTTGAAAGATTGATTAATAAAAGGTGATATCATTTTAAAGGTTAATAATTTTTAGAGGAATCGATTAAATAAAAAATATTAGTAAATTTAGCAACAATTTTTAGCCCTTTTTTAAGTGTAATAATAATAACGGAAGTATTAAGTACTTTTTAAAATCTTCAAAGCGCTAGGTTTTTGATAAAGTTATTTTTGAACTTTTTCCCAAAGGGGGGATTTGTTTAAAATGTTTTTAAAAAGAGTTTAGGCTAAAACAAAGCCTTCCCTTTCTCATAGAATTAAAATTAAAAATACCTAAAAATTGAAGAAAATTTTTCAAAACACCTTCAAATTCGAATATTTTCAAAAAAAAAACAACCACAAAAATATTAAAAAAAATTTTGTTTTTTCCTTAATGTTCCAAATAAATCCAATGTCTAGGTTTCACGCAAAACCCCCTTCTTTTAGCTAGCTCCTTTTTAGCTTATTCCCCAGAGAAAAGTAACATGTGAAAAGTGACTTGGTTTACTTAAATATTTGTATGTTTGTTTTTTGCAAAAATTTGAAAAAATAAAAAATATTGATATTGATACTCTTTATCATGAAGTTATCCTTAATTTTAAAAATGAGGGAGAGAATTACCGTAACCTTTATGCCTTCAGAAAGGAGCTCTGCTAACTACAGGAAAATTCGTATGTTTTACTAAGCTGTATTTAATTATGTATTTCTAATTAAGGAAGCAAATTCATTGCAACAATATTTGTCTATTTAAAATTAAATTTTTTATCAATATTTTATAGTCTCTTTTTGTCTCTCACAATTGATTTTTGATCCGCGCAATAATTTATTTTAACCCTCAAAAATCCTAGTCTCGACTAAGCAAATATTTTTCTTTAATTTTATTAATCCTCAATTATTTTATGTTAACCAATAAATTCTTTTTTGTTTTATTCCTATTGTTTATTATTTTAACTAATTTAAATGCTAAAAATGTCAGAAAACAACGTCCATATATTTTGCAGGTTTTCAGATATTTTTATTAAGCTTGATAAATAAAAAATTTCTTTTCAATGTACCATTGGGTCAGGGAGGGAAAATTTCTTTTAGGCCAGGGAGGTAGAAGCGGACAAAGCATTAAATTTAAAAAAGAGGATAACTTGGATAAATAAAGAGAAGTAGGGTGTAAGTTTGGCCAAACGGGGAAAAATCATTTTTAGAAGGTTTGAAGACCGTACAAATTTTTAATTAAAATTCCTAGCGAGAATGGGGAGGTCAGAATGTCCCAGGACAGTAGGTGCCATTTGAATCAAATAAATTCTCATAACAAAATTAAAATTATAACTCTTCCAAGGAGTACAAGGAACTTCTTCCTCATCATATTTTCGTTCAGTTTAGTTCAATTTATATGGACCCAACACTTGGAACTATCGTAAAATGCCAAAAATAATTTTAATAATTCCCTTCTGTTTCAGGAAAAATTAAAATTAATAAATAATTTATTCATGGAATTACCCGATACTTTAATTAAAAAACTGCCAATTCCTTCCCCATTCCGGCAATTACCTCTATCTGAGCAGAGAAAAGTCTGGAGGATTTTTTATAATAAAAATTTAAATTTTAACGAAAAAATGCGCCGATTAGAAAATTTTATGGGTGAATTAGCTGAAGAAGAAAGAGAACTTGTTCCGATCCGGTCAACTCCGGAAAAGAATTTTCTTGGGAATTTTGAAGGACGCAAAAGTAATGGTTTTACTATGCCTAAGCTAGTGGAATTTGAAGTGCCTGTACTTTTACAATTTAATGGGCATTTGGTAGGGAATATATGTAAATTTACTATTTTTGGCCATTTGTTACGGAAATTAGGGTTTAACGATCTAGTCCGTTCATAGTTCAATTTTATGATACTTGAAACCGTAGTTGAAAGCATCGCTTGGGTTCTTTCGTGACTAAAATATTTCTTGATTGAACATACAATTTTATTAATTTATTAGTTACTATCATTAATGGAACCCTATCTTATCATTAAATTATCCTTAATGACAAAAATGAGGGAGAGAATTACCGTAACCTTTTATGCCTTCAGAAAGGAGCTTTTCTAACTACATGAAAATTCGCATGTTTTACGGAGCTGTATTTAATTTTTTTAATTAAGGAAGCAAATTCATTACAACAATATTTGTCTAGAAAAGATTTAAGACTATTAAAAATAATTTTGAGCAAACACGGGATCTCAGAAAACGTAAGGATTTTTTTAATTTTTAAAAATTATTATTTTTAAAGTCTCGTGCTCGACTTGTTGGCATACTTTTAAAGCAAGCCTATCAATCCAATCCAGATAATTTTCCCTTGCCTCTGAATGGAGATAGCAGGGAAATAACTGATGAAATAAGACAATTGGGGGTACTTAAAATTAAAAAAAAAATTTTAGAAAATTTTTATAAAATCTTTGAAGGTCCGCCTAATGTTCGGAAAAAATCCTTATGACCGTGTCGACCCGTTCATGGAGAATTATGAAAATTTGAAATACAATGCTTCAAATATAGGTTCATTATCAACATATCAAATGAGGCGAAAACAGAAAGGTAGAAAAAATTAAAAATTAAAAAAAAATTATAAATCACAAATTTTCCAAGAAAATCAACCACAGAGACAAAAATATATAGAAAACGAGCACTGCCAAGAATCTGGACTTTGGCATATACCCATAGCAGAATTACAACAAAATCAAGAAGGACAATTAATTTTATTGCCTAATAAATTATTTATTGAGAAAATTAATTTTTTCCCTTGAAAAAATTTTTCTTAATTTTTAAAATTTTTCAAAAAATTAAATTTTATTACCAAAAATAAATTAATAATTAAATAAATAATTGGAGATCGTGTAGAATAAATTGAAAATAATTATCGTATATATTAGACCATATTAATAGCTTTTTTACAATAAATTTCCAACTCTGCGGCATCCATGTTTTTTGGTCTTTTTGAATGGATACAGTCATGGACTTCCTTTAAAAATTAATTCTAATTTCTTAATTAAAAAAATTTTTTTACCCCATAATTCTCATGATTCCTGCATTTTTTCAACAGCTCAAATAATATTTCAATAGACATGTTAACTTTGGTAATATTTGTTAAGCATAATTTAGAGCAATGACTATCTCTGAATAATTCGCAGCAATAGGCTTCTAAAAATTAAAAAAAAAATTCAGAATAAATTCTTAACTATCAATTATAAATATTTAGGTGGATTAAGGGAGTAAGAAAGATATAGGAGTCGAATTGAGGGAGATATTGAGTGATTAAGCATATATTGAATAGAGGGATTGAGGGTAGTATCGAGATAGATTAAGAGAGATCCTTTTTCTATTTAATCCTCTAGGATGTATTAATTTGTATCTTGCTTTATAATTCAATCTAAAGAGCAAGATTGTCGGATAGATGGGAATCTTCGGATATCCAGATCCGGTATCCGAACCGAAAATTTTTGGATATCCGGTCTTTTTCGGATCCGGATCCGACAACCTTACAAGAGAGTATGTATGTTTGGGTAGATAAGGGGCATTTTATTGGACTGACTATTAAAATTTTTAAAATTGATTAAGCTTACTGCAGATCTCCACTGCATTTTCACCGTGTATTTCTTGTTGAGCACATCTAATTGTTTTGACTATGGAATCCTTTAAGGACAAAATTAATTTTTAAAAATAATTTTAAAATAATTACACTCGAAACACCCTGATCTGCACATTCCTTTAATAAATACCCATATTCCTCAATACCGAATAACCCATCCTGGCAGCAATGCAACGGTCTTTTTCGATGATGTCTAAGCCTCTCTTTGGGGCAACATTTGCGTACTATAGCTAGAAATATTTATAAATTTTTAAAAATATTTTTCAAAAATTTTTACAAGTTTTATCATTAGCTAAGCTTAATTCCGAGTGAAAATAATTGCAACTTGCTTCTCCCAATAAAAGCAATAAATATAATAAAGCTAGGCATGTTTTAGGATGGTTCAACATTTTTTAAGTGGTTGAAACTTTAAGAATTTTGTTTTTTTAATAAATTTATTCCCAGCCTAAATTTTTTTGAATTTCAAATAATTTTTTTAACTGACACCTTTTAAATTGAAATTTTCTTCCTTATGTAGCAGAACCTCCTCCTCATTGTTTCTGATCATAGACCACACAATACAAAATTTTATTTTTAATAACGCCCATTCCGGCACATTATTTTTTCGATAAAAATAAGGTTCCTCTTTGAATTTGAGATGCTTAAAAGAGCAAAATAACGTTTCTATTTGAATAATGACCTTGAAGAAAAAAATTAAAAATAACGTTCATTTTAAAGTTTATTTAAATTGTAGTATGTACAGGGCATGTTCAGTTGAGTCCATGCATTATAACTCTAGAATGAGGGCATCTTTAAAATTTCTTTTGGTATCATTTGATAGAGAATTGAATCATTTATAAATCAGTTATAAAAGAAAAATTTAATTAAAAAATCTGCAATGAAAAATCACCAGGAAATCACAAAAATGGACCTTTTGATCAGTAATGTGCCAGTTTTCCGTTTATAACTTTTTCAATAAAAATAATTAAATCTTGATTTATTTTTCATCTTTTAGCGGATTCAATTCTCTATCGAATGATATCAAAATGATTAAAAATAATCTGTCCACTATTTAATTATAATGCAAAAACTCAAGTGTATCATCACTTAAACCTCCCATTTTCTTCGAAACTTTTTTCTTCGAAAACTTTTTTCTCTCTCTCACAAATCAACCTTTAACCACATAAAGTGCAGCGTTATTTTAGGCTTTCTTAAAACTTTTTTAACGCTTGATTTAATTTAATCTGTCATTAAATACCTTTGTTCATTTTAATATAAGAATTTACGCGAATTTCTTTTTTATTTCGTCACTGGTTTTTTGTACTTTTCTTTTTCAAGGACGTTCAAAAACTGTATTCTGTATATTTTTTGATCAAGTTTTATTTCTCAATTTCCTTATAATTTTAAATTTTTATAAAAATTTTTATAACATTTTTAACAAACAATAACAATTATATTTGGATTTATTTGCGCGTGAACTATAATCGGCTATGAGTTACACCTAAAGGCAGTGAACAGCACGGAAAGGTGAACTAAAGTTTTTTGTAAATTTTTGAGTTTTTAAAATACAGCTAAAAAGTTGTAAAATTAAAAATAAAATTAGTAAGTTTATTTTAGAATCGGACTAAAATTAAGTGTACAAACAAACGAGAGATTAATTAGATTAAATGTATACTGTAGTCTCTCATTTTGGTGGACTTTTGAGTCGTTGATTTTTGATTAATTAATTAAAGGACATTTTTTAATTTTTGGAAATTATTTTTGTAATTTTTTGGCATAAGAGAAAGATTCCTTTTCAATTTTTATAGATACTGTTTTTAATTTTGTCGAACTCTTTGTGGGACATTTTAACTTTTTTAAGCCTATCTTTGAGGTTTTTCAACCTTACTTTTTTTACTTTTTCAAGTTAAAATTTTGTTTCTTTTATTATTTTGTAGCAAATTTAATTCTCTATTCAATTCTCCATTTAAATTTACCAAAAAATATTTCAAAGGCTCTATTCTTTCCAAAGTTATAAGACTCAATTGAAGTAGCTCAGCTAAACAGGGGGACATTTTCTTTTTTTAAAAAGCTGTAACCCAATTGATACTTTAAACAAACATTTTAAAAACTCTCGACTTTAAATAAATCTAAAATAAAAATAATAATGTATTTTCGGCCACCATTCTGTGCTATTTGACTTGTTATTTTTAAAATCTCTCAAACGTGCACAAAAAAACAAATTCGTTCAAAGCACCAAAAAAATTTTTGCAGCGGGTCAAGTATTATAAAAGGGGCATTTTATCCCTTCTTTTTGTTCAAATAAAACGTCGAGACTTTCATTCGGACAATTTCATTCACAAAATTTTTTACTAAAAATGAATTTCTCTAAAAATTCAATTCTCCCCCTAATTTTAATTATTTCTTTAAATACATTTTTGGTATTAGCTTATGAAGATAAACAACAATCTGAAAATAATGGAGAGGTTAAAAAGGGAAAGGATGAAGCTGATAATATGATGAAGATGCAAAATCCTCCCCAATTTGTTTAGTTTTTTTAATTTTGAAGTAGCATGACCAAATAGTAGCTTGGCTAAATAGGGGGAGAATTTGTTCGTTTACCAGGCTGTTTGTGAATAATAATTAATTTTATTAGCCTTCCCTTTTATCAATTTATATTTTTCCAGCCTGAATTGCCACCCTATTTGGAAAAGGTCCTTCCTTCAGATGCTATACAAAAATTAAAGGTGATTCAAAAATTTAATAAAATTTAAAAATAATTTTCAAGGCAATCCATGCCGATCCTTCTTTGTCTTTCCTACAGAAACAGGAAAAAATAGACAAAATAATGACTTCACTTCCAGATGAGGCAAGATTTATTAAAGAACACGCTTTAACACTAGTCAAAGCTCCAATAAAACAAACATCAAAATTTTCAGATTCTTGACAAAATCCCTCCACCCCCTGGATTTGAACGTCTTCCAGAGGATGTTCGAAACAAACTTAAAGCTATACATCGCAATAAGGAAAAATCGTGGGCTCAGAAACAACAGGAATTACAGGCATAATAAATAATTAAAAAACCCAAATAAAACTCAAATTTAAGGCATACATTCAATCTTTGCCATACGAGCAACGCAGTCTTTTAATGATGGGACCACAACAAGTACCAAAAAATATGAGAGGATCACAATGATCAAATGAACAAGATAAACATTTTTTATTTCCTTCCGATTTATATTGTGGGATTATACTGCTATTTTGATTCTGCATTTACTTACATATTCTGATTTTTGTATTATTTTAACTTTTGCATTTTTAAAAATATCTTAATCCTCGATTAATGTAAATCTTTCAAAATTGGTTGTTATTTTATTAAGATTATCATTGATTTAGTATCATTAGATCAGTTATATTCACATATTCACATAAAAATTACGCTTCCTAAAGGAGCTTGGTAAACCACACAATTGCCGTTTTGATTCAAAAAGCTCGTAGGTTACTGTAACTCATAAATGCTAGAAAATAACAAAGCTTATCTTGGCAATATTAAATAACTTTTTATCAAAAAAGCAAGCCAAAAATATGTAGGTACATAATTTAAAAACGGAATGATTATCCTCTAATTTCCAATCACATTTTATTTCCTAGGAGCATCATCTAATCCAGATCCAAAGAAGGAGGAAAGAGCACCGCCTCCTCCCCCATTTTTAGCATCTTTCTTTCCAAATATTTGTGCCAATGCATTACCAGATTGTTGCTGTTCATTATTATTTAAATTTTGTCCAAGCATTGAATCAAGCCCGAATTGACTTAACCAATCTGGCATCTGAGGCATTTGCCCACGCATTAAACTTCCAATTATATCACCATTTTCTTCCTTTTGTTTTTCTGTCCTTGGTTTATTTTCTACAATTTTTTCGGCTTTTTCAATTGGCATTAAATTAGAAATGCCAAATTGTTGAAGAAATGAATTTAGTGGGTTTTGTTGTGAGGGTGATGGTAATTCTGGTGGTGGGGTTAAATGAGGGATATAAGTCTTATCGTCTGGCAATTGTTGTTCTCCCTTGTATACTTGTCTCTTCTGTTGATAGATTAATTCTGGTGATAAATCCACAGACTTAAAAAAATATCGGCTATTTTCAAAATAGTAAATAATTTACAAATTCACCTTCATTAGAGGATTTCCCCCATTATTTGAGTCAACAACCACACTAGCAGTTGTTGTAGGCATAATATTCTGATTATTACTTCCAGCATTAAAGGCTGACAATAATTTACCGAAAGTCGACAATAAAGGTGAAGAAGATAAAGAATTTTGATTTTGTTCTTTTAATTCATATTCTCTCTTATTTAATGAATATGGGATTATCGAAGAATCCTTAGTTGGATATATGCCTTGTTGTTTGTCTATGTTGGTGATATCTTCTCCAAAATTGAAAGTTGTTGGACTAAATTAAAAATATCAAAGCTATGTGCTTGACGCAAGAATGCTGCCAGTTGGGATTGAAATAATGGTAGCTAGCTTGGTCCTTCTTTCCATATACTATTAAGTATATGGAAGAATATACTATACCTAGATCAAGTTAATTGAAGCATAAGGGACGCTGAAGATGCCTTGACTTGACACCTTATACAGGCCCAGTTCGATCTTCAATCTAGTTTCTCTAGTCTAGGATCTCTTGCCCGATCTTTAGTCTCCTCCACGTGTCGAGGACCTAATATAGTTTATTCAACAAACTTGTAATCTTTATTCCCAAATCTAGACATTGTTTCAGCAATTTTGGGCAATTTTTCAGCTACAGTTTTCAAAATTCTTTGAATTCCATCTTCAGAACCTCTATTATTTTCATCAACAAATTGAGGGGATTTCCTTTTTTCCGAATTAAAACTTTCCGTTTCATCAGCTATATTAGCTAATTGTTGCTTTTGAACATTATCAATTTGTTTTGTTGGGTATGCAAAGGCAGAATTTCTGTAAGAGGCATATGGAACTTGATATGAAGATGGAGCAGGGGAGGGTGAATAATAAGGCTAAATATATGATTTTAAAAATTTATATGGTCCTAAAAGTTGCCTGAAAATATTGGGAAGGCTGTACAGGTTGTGAATGTCCATTAAATCCCCATTGAGAATAGAGTTGATAAGGATGGACATAGTTGGAATAATCACTTGGATTTTGTTGTAAAGGCTGTCCGTTTACATTATTCTGAATTAAAATACTATATTCATTTTAGTGTAAATGTTTATTAAAATTAAACAAGGTTAACAGAGAATTTTCATAGTATAAAATGAGTTACAATAATCTACGAGCTTTTTAAACAATTAGAGGCTTCTATGATTTTACTAAGCTTCCTAGCTCTACAAGCCCCTCCTATTCAAAAACCTCCAGCCCTAGATGGAATTACGTTAGGAGCCATATTTGGACAACCATCACAAACCCAATTATCCACTCGTGGAATGCCTGCAGCTGGAGAGATAAATGCAGCTAATCCATATTGAGTTATTAACAAAATAATTGTGTAAATTGCCTTCTCATTGCTCAAAAATTCCATAATTAACTTATTAATAAATTAGAGCTAATAAAAAATCAAAATTCTATTGTCTGTCAATTGTTGTTGAGATCACGATTTTTATTTTTACTTTAAATTATTTTGAGTTGTTAAAAGCAGCAAGGTTAAGTAGCCATTCTTTAGGTTATTTTAATAGCCAAAAATAAATAAACATGAAAATCTTTTGGTCAAAAATTGTCAAGTTAATGTCGCGGACATGAATATTTTCTCTCCTCTTTCTTCAAAAAACTTCTTCAATTCCCCTTCAAATTGCTTTACTTTTCCTTTGTTGTTCGTTGTTGGTTGTTGTCGCCTGAACACTGCGCGGTTCGATTAATGCGGATCTTCTAATGGCTATTTAAAAGAAAAATGAAAATGCTAGGTGAAAATATTTGAAGATTTATGATGGAAATTGCTTAATAAAAATTTCTGATGAAGATAAAAAAAATAAAATTTTAAAAAATATTAGCCCTAAAAATATAAATTTAGAAAATTTATAGGAAAAAGGGTCCAAGTTGAAATTGACTTGAGTTGCAATTCCCCTTTCAATTATCTTCTAACTTGCTTTATTGTAATGAGAAAGTGTTTGGATACACTCAAAAGCTTGGATCCTTATCATACAAACTAAGCTCCCTTCTAGCAACGAGGAAGCTGAGCTCAAGGAGGGAGCTCCCTCCAACTCCCACCTCCCTCCTAAGCTCACTCCTAACAAATGCCTAAAAGTTGCAGGTACAGACCTGCCCGCTGGCGTTTCCTATCCTCTTTAGACCTTCCCAAAAATTTTTTCTAAGAAAACATTTAAAATGAAAATATAACAAATTCTTCCCATTATTTATACTACAATCCTGTATTCTTTTAATCCATTCCTCCCCTTTTTCCATTTAAAGAAGCCTCTTTTTCAACATTACTTTTATAAAAAGTGCGCAATAACAAAAGAAATAAAATGCCGTTTTCTGACGTCATAAAATTTTGCTTCTTAGAATGAAGGTGGAAATTGCTTATAATCATTTGGAATAATAAAAAACAATTCTAATTAGTATAAAAATAAATAATGACCTTGTAAATGGGTAAAAATGAGTCATATTTAAAAAAATGATATGTAGAATAGAGAATAAATTTTATCATATTTTATATATCAAAAGCTCGTAGATTATTGTTATCCTTATATTAAAATTTTCATGGACATTATGTGAAAATTTGTTAAATTTTTATCGATAATTAATTTTGGAAGATAATCTAAAACATGCTAAGTTAAGCTTAGTAAACACACGAAGCCTAAGATTGTTTAAAAAGCTCATAGATTTTTGTCATCCTTGTCCTGCAAAAGAAGCTTAGTAAACACACGAAGCCTCGTATTGTTCAAAAAGCTCGTAGATTACTGTAACTCATTTGTTATGTTGATTCTCTAAAAAACTTGCTTGCAATTCTAATAAATTTTTAGACTAAAATTCTTCAAAATTCTCCAAAAATTAATTAAAGAAGGAGACATAAATTTCTTTTCAATTTGTGTTTTATTACCTTAAACTTTTGGATCAATTAACGAACATGTACGCCATTCATTTTATGATCAACAAGAGTGTGGTTAATAATGCGAGACGCCGATAAATTAAATAATAACGTGAAATAATTAATATGTATATTTGTGTTAAAATTACAAATGCGCAGCTATATGTCTTGAATATTTATTCTGATATTTGTGGAGATCCGGTAAAATTCCGGAGAGCATTCCGAAGAATATATGAATGTACCATAATATTCCTTGTTTGTCGGATTTTTTCTTGTTTTCCGGTTTTTTTTGTTTTCTGGTCTTCCGATACTGTCATTTTCGGAGAATATTATTCATATGATAATCAGGAAATATAATAATCCGGAATTTCTTCCGCAAAGTTATATTTTCCGGAATTATTAAATATATAAGTATTATTTTTGTTTTTCGGAATTTTTTTTAAATAATATCCCGCACTTCCTTGAGAAGCTTTATAAACTACAGGAGTCACTTATGGGTTCAAAAAGCTCGTATTAGACATTATTCTTTTATGAGCTCATTAATAAATTTATTAAATTCAGTTTATTCATATTGATCATAACTGATCTACTAACACTTTGCCCTTTCTTCTATTCAACATAAAGAGGGTTATATGACAGATTGTTTGATTATTATGTGTCGCGCACCCGCGCATGCCATTTCCCATTAGATATTTACTTTAATATTTCTCGTCAAGGCCTTTTTCTTTATTTTGTTTCTTATTATTCGTCTTTTATTTTTCTACCTATATTCTTGAAATTGGTGCAATTCAATAAAATTGTTTCATATTAAACTGACCTTTGTTTATGTACAAAATAAATTTTTAATTAAAATTTAAAAAATAAATTTTTATTGTTTAATTTATTTGTATACATTAGGCTGTACCCCCTCCCCCCCCCCCCCCTCCTACCCTTCCGCTTATTTTCATCGTCCGAAATTTACCTATAATATTTGCCCATGAATCAATATTTTAATAATGTCCGAATTTCAACCAGCCGCCTCCCCCTTCAACATCTTTCACTTTTCTATGCTTATTCAAAAAGGAATTTATTTTTTATTTAATAAAAATTATTAGTACAAAAATTCAAACAAATCCAAGTCCTTTAGACATTAATTTCCCCCAAGATTTTATATAAAATTTATTAATTTTCCATTAATATCAATGAGAATCAGAGTGGGTCTGAACAGTCAGGGGTGTCGGAAATCGGAACTGTCGGAAATCGGAAATGGCTCAAAAGTCGGAACTCGGAAATCGGAAGGAAAAAACGTCGGAAATCGGAATTCCGACCCACCTCTGATGAGAATTAGAGCCCTTTTAATCTGACATTTTAATCAACAATTATTTTTCTATGGCTACTTTTACTTCATTTTTCATTTTTACTTTCAATTTAATGATTATTCATAGCAAAGACCACACTGTGTTCAAAATGTAAAAAATGATCATAGCAATCTGAAAATATTTAATTTAATTTTGATCAAATGCTTCATTTATTTATAAAATATTTATTTGCCATTAATGCCAGTTTTATTTGTGATCCATTTAATTTGCTCAGATTTAAATTTTATAGGTAATTTTAAATTAAACGAGAGGGTAGATATCAGGCTGTTAGCAAGTCAGTAACTTTGGGGTTTGGCAACCCTGTAAATAAGAGACCGAAATGGGAGTGGCTTAAGAGAATCAAGATCGATGTCCCAAAAATCTCGATCTCGTCAAATCCCGATCGAGATCGATGTCTCTCTCGAGACCGAAAAATTTTGAACGGATCAAAATCTCGATCATGATACTCTAAATTTTTGTTTGGCATCTTCGTTCCGGTCCTATCTCTACTGTGGATATCATCCTCTCATAAAACCAAAACAGATTTCGCTCATTTTCTCTTTTAGAAAAAATTGTGCCATCTTATCCTCATTGTTCCTCATTTTTGTAAATGATTATTTTCAATTTACCATTGCAACGGTATTTTCAAATTCACTCCATCAATGCCAACAACTTTGTCAGGAAAGAAATTTGGTAGAATTTGAGCCATTATTTTAAATTTTCAAGCATTCCTAATATTTCTTTAGGCATTTCCATTACCCCATGGAAGTCTAGGCTGGTCAAATTTTTCCCAAAGCAACTGTGATACTGATTGTCTTACAGACGCTGTATATTCTTTAATAAAAAATTTGAACAGAGCCCTTATTTTAGTGTAAACTAGGTTGCCAAGATTTAGACTCTCACGATTCCAGTTGTAACTCTCGATGTGATCCTATCGGTGCTGGGGCGGATGCCTGCAATCAAGGATGTCGTGCAGTTACTGATATTTTCCTTCACAAGATTCAGGGTCGAATTTATTACAGAATTACCAATAAAATAGTTGTATAGGCCTTCTTGATCTTTCTTCTGTGGAATCATTCTATGACTCTTCTCTAGGTCTGGGAATGAATTGGTCATTTCCTGAGGCTCAATCGAACCTTCTCAAAGAAGTATCAACTACCAACATTCAGTGGATTGCCCAGAGTCGTCCTGGGAGTAAACAGGGATGGTTATGGACGAAAATGGATGAAAAAGTAAATAATCGCTGATAATTTACATACATTTATCAGACATTATTTTGCAGGCATTCAAAGAAAGCTCCTTAATTTCTACTGTTTTTGTTTCGCTAGAAACTTATTATGTTGATATTGAGGTATTTTAGAATCCCTCCATAAATTAAAATTATTTTTGAAAATTTAAGCTTCGACTGGCAGCAAACTGGCGCGATAATATAATAGTTTCTTCCAAACATTTCCGGCAATCTACATTCCCAGAAAAAAATATTTTACAAACACAACTGCCTCAACCTTCTTCAGGCTCCTTTTTACAACTCTCCTCTTCAAGTTTTGTTGCTTGTTGGGATTCAGAATCTCCAAATAAATTTAAACTTAAACTTTTTAATACCACAAAAGAGGGAGAATTGGATGGCTTAATTTCTTCAGAAATGACTTCCGCAAAATGCCATGTCTTTAGAAATTTAACTAGTAGTATAGTAGAAGGAAGAGAATTTCGCCTTATAATTGTTGACACCGGAAGTTTGTCAGAAAATGGGGATGAAGATATGAAGCACTCCTCCTCTCTAGAAAAGAGACATCCGTTGGAAGGAGGAAAGGGAGAGGATAAGGATTTAGTTGCTGACAAAGGGCTTCACTTAAATATCAGCATGGAAGAAATTGAGGGTTCTATTAACTATAAATTTATTAAAAAAAATTTTTTTTGAAAATCTCAGAACCCAAAGCAACACCTCCATTATTAATATTCACTGATGGTTCTTCTCTCTATCTTATTGATGATCTAAACGATTTTGTATTGCTAACTGAACCCATAAAAGTTGCATTTTCCTTGAATGACTCTCAAACTATTACCGCTTTATGTGCCCTCTCTCAAACAGAAATGCTTATTGGGCTTTCCGATGGAGCTATATTTAATTTGGAAATTTTGTTTGAATCTAGAGTTGAATTGGAAATGATTAATAGAACTATGGAACAAGTTAAAACACAAACGAGGAAAGTTAGGGAAGCGGATGGAGTATCAATCACACAGATTGTTGTCGACTTCATACAGGTACTATATAGGGGGAAATGAAAATTACCTGAAAAAAGAAAATAAATTCCGTTACTGTAATAAGCTCTCCGTAAATCTACTAATAAAAATAAATTTTTAAAGGAGCGTTTTTACGCCATTCGAGATAAAGTTGGAATTGTTCGTTGCAAGATAAACACTTGTGATAATACAACTACAAATATGTTGCTAACAAATACACCTAATTATGTTCAAAGGATAGCCTGTGATCCTTGGAATGGGTTTTTCTTAAATTTAAAATTTAATTCGTCATTTAATTTTTTAGTTTCATTTATTATTCCACAAATGTTGGGGATGTTTTTTCAATGCATCTATTTCCTATAGATGCCCCTCAAAATTTTTCTCAGACCATTACCCGACGTATATCTGATATTCCTGCGGCTAATACTGTTCAAGTCGATGTTAGTGACCAGAAATTGTTTGTAGTTACAAAATCTGGGCATTTGATGAGTTGGTAAATTTGGGACTTAAATTACTTGAATTCTCTCAACTTAAATAAAAATTTAAAAATATTAAGGTAGGGATCTGATAGATTCCTCTATTCATGACGAACGTGAGGGATGGACTTTAAATGATCGTTATCGAAATGTTATACGTTCATTGTTCTATCAAAATCGGCTTTTCTGGATCAGCACAAGCTGTGGGGATTCACATCCTTGGGAAAGCTGTTTATTTAGTGAGGAGTTTGAACACCAACACAAGACAATTCATTTAAATAAATAGTAAATTTTATCAAAAAATTCAAGTTAAAATTTATTTTTAGCTTATTTACTGGCCCAGTGCGCGAATTTACCATACTCAAACCTTTCCCCAAGCTTCCCTTTATGTTTCCCCCAAACAAGGTTGGGTTAATTCTGTTTGATACCGAAGCTTTTATTAGCTGGAAATCTCCTACTTTTCTGCCTTTTCAGGGTACTTTAATTAATTTATTAAGACACTAAATTATATATTGTAGCGATAGGGACCTCATGGCGTTCACTCACTTATGAATATATTTTGCAAAATGACGAGGATTATTTTACAAAAATTAATTTGGATAGTCCAAGTGATTTGGATAATTCTACAGAAATTAATGATAATAAAACTGATAGTTCTAGCAATTTATCCGAGTTAATAACAAAGATATATGCAAAAGGATTTACTCAGGACACTCATTCACCTGCAATACAGCTTGAAAGTAATGTTCCTTCCGGAGGCTATTATACTGCAAAAGTCAGAGTATGCACTGCAAATAATAATAAAATTTGCTCAGGTAAAATAAAGCGAAACTAAAAAATTCTAATTGTGCCCTTAACTCCGCCCTGCTGAATTCGTGTCCGATAGCACTGAGCGTCTACCTCGCAATTGAATAAATTCTTGATTTTGGGGGATTCCCAGCCCAAAAAACGTCAAGTTCCCGATTTTCGAGTGCCAGGACGTCTAGACACTTGGATGGCACCGTCCATTAAACTGGCATACATAACCTTAAACTTTATTAAATTAATCATTGTTCTATTCAGCTCAAATTACCGTCAAAAGTCAGCCGATAAAATTAGCTCAATCACACAAGCAAATCTCTCTTCTAAATAAACGAGTATCTTCCTCACCAACAACAGATATGATAACTTCACATTCTTCAAATATAAATGTTTTTGACTGGCAGGGAAGAGAATTTACTGAAGAACAGAAATTATTTTGTAATTAAATTTTAAAAATTTCCTGATCAAACCCCTCCCCTAGATCCTCAAATTCCAACAGAGGCTGGAATAGCAATTGCCTTCGACAATACCTCAAATGTTCTGTTTAGTTCATCTAGAAAGGATGCTTCAATTACACAAAAATTTGATAATAATAATTTTAAATTCTTGGAATCTGTATTTATTCATCAAATAACCTTAATTCCATCAAAGGCCTCAGTGCTTTTAGCTTCAGCTTATTCAGTAATGGTATATCGGATGACTTCAAGCTTTGACAAACTGTAATTTATTTTGATTACTTAAATGAAGAATACACTGGAAGTGGGGTCCAATTTCCGAACTGAAATGTTCGGAGATCTGAATCCCAGACTGGGAGTAATTCCTCGAAAAATTCGTTTACCTCTTAGAGAAATTTTTCCTTACAGAATTTATAATTGTGCTGTAGGAAGCGAGGAATGTGGTGAAGTTGTTGGAGTTGCTGTAGATGACAGTTCAGATAGACAAGATGGACAACGAATCCTGTTACTCGTTCAACTTTCCTCTGGAGCAGTTCAATTGCTTCAAGCACCTGTTGATTTGAACCAGCCTTTTCAGCTGGTAAATTCTGTGCCTAATGGGTTGCCCTACAGGTATTTAAAGAGACTTTCCATAACCAATTTTTACATAGAATTCGTCAAGTTGGCGGCTTCATTGACGGCCGTTTTTTAATTCTAACAGAAGATGGTTACTTTGGAACACTTGATTATGACCTGACCAATATAAATTTAAATTTTGCTGTCCGTGAAATAAACCATTTAATGGTTGCTGACAGTGTTTCTCCTTTCGAACGAAGATTTCTTCACTTTGATGGGCCTATTCATTTTGATGAAAAAACGGCACAGTTGCGTTGGTCGGTTGTTAGAGGAGATGGAGGGGAAGTTAGTCCGTCAGCAACATCCTCAGAGGGTAGAAAGATTCAAACAAAAGAAATTTTTACTTTTAACTTTAAATAACAGATGATTCAAAATCACCTCAACTAATACCTTTGCTTTACAAATTATCTCTCTTTCGTGATGGATTTTCTGGCAAAGAACCTAATTTAATTGTTTGTCAAGAAAACAGTTTTTCATTGCCTCCAAAACTTTTACAAGCTTGGAACTCTCGACAGCGCTTTGATGCTCAAGTTGAAGCTATTAGTCCGTGGATCCGTGTTTTGGCTAACCAGACTGGGCTAAATGCAGCTACTAAACCCCCAACTGCCCCAGAAGGTGTGCGCATCTATGCTACACAACAGAGGACAGTTGACGGAAGTCGCGCAATTATAGACATTTTTTGGCATGAACCGAGTGAATGGAATGGGGAAAAATTAGGATATCAATTAAACTGCACAATTACACAAGGAGCAACTAGCAGTAGCAGTACTTCTACATCATCCTCTCAAGGAGCAACTCAAACAACATCTGATCCGAACAGTTCCCCTACCCAATATATGAATGCTACACTAAAAAGTAATCATCGCTCCTTTTCATTTACTGTACGCTCTGGAAAAGTTGGTTGTCTAGTCTATGCGATTAATGATCAACAACTAATTGGACCAGCTTCTGCGTTGGCTGATATCGACGGGAGTGGTAATTTCTAGGAGAATTTTGCTTCAAACTTGAAATAAAATTTTTTAGAGTTTAAACCCCTGATCCGTCTTTTTGCTATCGATTCAACAGAATCACTTGTAGCTATTCAAAATTGGACAATAGAAGTATCAAAAAATGGTGCGAGCATTAGAAAATTGCGTCAGATACCAGTTTCTAAAGATCGAAGAAGACAAACTACACAACAGCAACAACAACAACAACCATCTCAACAACAACAACAAATGCTCCATTCATCTCAATATCAATCACTTACATTTGTTGGAAATGAGCTTTATGCAATTCGAAAAGAAACAGAAATGTTATCATCATCTTCTCCTTCCTCCCAATTATTTTTGGTTAAATTGGATATTAATCAAGTTGATCAGGTCGTTTATAAGGTTGGAATTTAGGTTCCAAAAAGGTTACTAACCTAATTATTTTCCGGCTTCACTTATCGGTGATTTTGTGCAACAACAAATTGATGCTATGACTTCTGATTGGGTTGCCAACAGATTACTTTTGGTCGGCAATCGAGCATTAATGCAAATACAGTTAGATCAATTACAACAAGATTCAGCTACCACGATTAGTCCTAAACGACTTTTTCAGCTTTCTATGGGGGCGCAGGATGCAAAACAATTAATTTTTGATCCCTTTACAAAGTAACTTCTGATCTAAATCGCTCTTGATATTCCTTGTATTTTGTAGCACAGCTATTTTACTGACAAAAAATGGCTCTCTACTCGCTTTGAATTTGAATAATGGAACTGAAACTAATTTGGAGCTGACAACCGGGTGTTTGAAACAGAAGACAATAACTTCTATTGTTGGAGAGTTTATTTGGAATAGAGCTGCTTCTCCTCAATTATATGCTCTAACTTGGAATGGATTAATGGAGCTAAAACTTGGATCAGATAATTGTCCAGAAGTTAATGTTAATTGGGAAATGTTTGGGGGTAAGCTTTAAAGAGGATTTCTTGATCAAATTCTCATTTTAAGAACGTGGTTTAAAGGCAATATCCTTATTTGCTGTAGCAGACAAAGTTTTTGTGTTTGCAACACCTACAGATTTGCTTGTTTATGACCGCCTATCTGCTTCAGTTTCACAATTCCCCATTCCAAATCCTCCACTTAAACAGTTATTGACAGTCTCCCAATCATCGCAACCCTTTCCCGACAGAAATTGTTTCCAACTACCTTCCGTTTCTTCTGTTGATTTTGTTGTAAAAAATGATGGAAGGACTGGAGCAGTTGTAGAACTGCCAGAACCCAAAAGAGATGAAAAAGACGAGAATTTTAAGCTACCGATTGAATGCCAAAATATTTCACAACCTCAAACTCAATACGAATTACATTTCCGGAAGAGGGGTACTGAAAAAGAGAAGATTATTCGAACAACTAACAACAAAACTTTTATTGAACAAGGCGTTCTGGACAAAAATACGGAGTAAAAATAATTTTCAAAAATTTTTAAAAATTTTAGTTTTTTAGTTATGATGTTTCTTTGGGTTGGTCAAACCGGTTTTGGCCAGTTCAAGGCCAGTCTGAACCGAAATTGTTACTACACACTGGGTTTGGTTTTCCTTCAGCTCCGAGAGAACCAACGGCCTTTTCTCTCAGTCCGGATACTGTACTTTTGAGTTGGCTACCTCCCGAATTATTGAATGCGCCAGCTTCTGAGATTCGTTATAGGGTAACTTAAATAAATTCTAAATTATTCTGAGCGATTTAAGATAAGTCAACAGAGTTCTTCCCTCGTTTCTCCCGTTCCAGTAGCCGTTCGCCCTCAAGAAGGTGGGCGTGGTCACTTTTCCACTCCTACGGCAGATGTTGTCTCCTGCGATGAAAGTGATATATGTCAGGCAAAAGTGCCGAACTTGCGTCCTTCTACAGACTATCATTTTTGGGTAGACAGCTTTAAACCTTTTTGACTCCTCCCTCCCTCAGATATTAGCACTTCATGTCAGTCGCATTTCTTTAAATGCTTTGGAAGATCCAGAGGCTACCTCTGTTGAAACACAGGCACATACTCGGGAGATTCCAGGGACTTTACGATTGGAAAATGCAACGAGTACTTCGTTAAATCTTCGATGGAATACACTGCCTGGAGCAGAAAATGGATTTCCTTATGTTCAACGTATTCAAGTTTCTATTCAATATAGACAGGTAGTGAATAGATTTTTGCCTAGGTATTGAATAGAATTATTTGTAGAGCGCAGTAGATGCATCATGGACTCTTCTTCATAATTCCACCTTTACACTTGAACAAAATACAACCCTAATATCTACAGGGTCACAACATTCATTTTGCATAGAAGACCTTAGACCAGCCACAACATATGATTATCGTTATTTGGCCGAATATCACAATAATATTGTCCCAAATGAAGAAGCTTCAAACAAAAAAGAAAAGGTATTGATAACGGAATCTTTTTTCCAACAAGTTCAGCAAGCTAGGACTAAAGGTGAAAAGCATCATTTATCAAATAAACGCTTATTATCCAGCCGGGACTCCTTCCGCGCCTACAAACGTTCAACTAATTAATGATCCTAAGGGAACCTGGACTTTGCGATGGTCAGCTCCCGATTCTGATGGAGGCGAGACTATTCAGAATTATGCTGTAGAGTTTCGGTTATTCATGAAAAAATTTAAATTGTGAAATCATCCTTAAATAAAAGGCCTAACAGCCAATCTGAGTGGGAGATTGCTGATCGAGGTCTTCCTTACGATAAATTATTTTGGCGTGTTACCTGGTCAGAATCCCATGCACGCCATGGAAGTGAAGACTCAGATCTTACAAATGGCCAATTCCGTGTTCGGGCTGCAAATTCTGAAGGGTTTGGTGACTTTGGATATACAAAGGTGAATGGGGCAGACAATGTTGATGGTTTGGAGAGGAATGGAAAAGGCACGGTATGGAATGTTTTGTTGATTTTGCTACTTGTTTCGCTGATATTGTGCGCTGGAGCTTATTATACATGTATGCATGAATTTTTCAGAATTTTATCTTATTCATAACTTTGTTTATAGTAAGACTAAAAATGTCTAAAAGGCGCAAGGTTCGAGAGAAGCTTCACAAACCAATTTGCATGGAAAGCATTGGAGAGCAAATTCAACAATTTCATCAAACACAAATGCAATTTTCTCCAGAAGTTCAAAATGAACTTAAAAGTATTTTAAGGAATTAATTTAAAAAATAAATATTTCCCTTTAAGTTTTGCCAAAAATAACCCCAGAAAGGGTTAAAATAACTAAACAGCTTGGAATTGGGAGTTTTGGACGAGTTTGTGAGGTAGCTGAGTCTTCATAAAATTTAAGAAAAAAATTTTAATTTAAAAAGGGCTTTATGCGCATAGACAGGGATGTCAGTGTTCGAGTAGCTGTCAAATACCTGAAAGATAATAGTGCCGAAAATAAAATTAAATTTCTCAAAGAAGCCATACTTATGAAGTATTTTTTATAAAAATCTTAAATAATTTTTAATGTTTTCTAAGCAATTTTGATCACCCTAATATTGTAAAATTGCTTGGAGTCAATATGGAGCAGGGAGAACACTTCTTAGTCCTTGAATTGATGGATGGGGGTGATTTGCTTGGCTTCCTTCGAGAATGGTTTTCTTAACTCCTTCATTAAGAGAGTCATATAAATTTTCAGCCGCCCCAAGAAAGGCCGTTCTTCACGTCTCTGTTTGCGCGATCTGATAGCAATAGCCGTAGATGTTGGTCGTGGTTGTGTACATTTGGAGACTTATAAGCACGTACATCGTGACCTTGCTGCCAGGAATTGCCTAATTTCTTCCAAAACATCCCCTCAAAGGGTTACTAAAATTGCTGATTTTGGATTGGCTAGATCCCTCTTTGTCGATGATTATTATAGAGTACATGGACAGGCAGGAATTTTCGATTAAATAAAATTGAACTAACCCCAGTATTTTTAAGGATATGTTACCTTTACGCTGGCTTTCTCCAGAAGTCATTACTCAAGGATTATTCACTTCAAAAAGCGATGTTTGGGCTTTTGGTGTTCTACTTTGGGAGATTATTACTTTGGGAGAGCAGCCTTATTCTAACAGACAAAATACAGAAGTCTCTCTTAAATACCCTTGACCCTATAGATTTTTTAAATTTTAAGGTCTTAAATTTGCTCAGCAATGGGATCTGCTTAGAGAGGCCTTTAGAATGTCCAGAAGAGCTTTATCAAGTGATGAGATCGTGTTGGACAATTCCAGCTGAACAAAGACCTAAATTTTTGGATATTCAGCCTAGAATGGAGTCTATTCGAGGGCTTACTCATTTTCAAGTAATCAAATTAGAGAATATTTAATTGAGTTTCTTTCCCAATTTTAAAGTCCAGAGACCCTTTCCCATCTGGAATTTTGAATGGATTCGAAAATTCACTAGATTCCAGCACATCCACACATGAATCTAGTACAACGACTAATGGAGGGGATTCATCTGCTGCTTTGCATTTTGAAAAGAGTGGTTAATAAAATATTTAAAATATTTTTTCAAAGCAAAAATTCCCAGAAAATTCCTCCTCAAGAAAACATTCCCGTTTTGGACCCAAGCCGGTACCTCGACGCCAATTAGGACAACAGGGCACCAATGGCACAATATCTACCACCACCACAAATGTTGCTTTGAATGATTCGGGTTAGTTTTAGAAATCTTGGTCGAGTCAGGGTAAACTAGCAAATTTTCAGCAGAGTATGAGTTGCCAATACGTCCTAGCGCCAGCAGTTTTCAATCTTCTTCCAATCATAATAATCATCAGAATAATCAAGGAAGCCCCTTTTTTGCTTCACAATTTCGGAAGGGGAATAATTCCGCAGCGCGACAACAACAACAAGCTGTAGCTTTTCAAAATAATGCATATTTAGTTGATGAGGGTTCATCAACTGAGGGAATACAAAAACAACTAACTTGGGATAACCAGAACCTTAGACACTTAAATAACGTTAATGGCAATGACTTTATTACTGCTAGGAATCCTCCAAATACAAATGAAGAACAACAAAGGTTCGGGGGGTCTTCCAGAGTAAGCAGAGTTTAGAAATATACCAAAGATTTTTAAATTTATAAACCTCTAGTACTGTAGTAGATTTTTTTAATTTTACCAATTTTCTTTCAATATTTATCCGATAACGTTTTTGCTCAACCGGTTAATTTATATGAATACCTATTCACTATTATAATTTTAAGAATATCTGTACCAAAGAATTTTAGTTTATTTTGTTGTTATTTATTTATCAGATAAACATGCCTAGTTTTTTCATTGTGTTAAAGTCTAGCACAGGGTAGGCATCGCTTCTGTGACTCCAGGCAGTTATTGCTCGGCACGTTCGCACTCGAAATATAGGTGAACTATCGAATGAGCTGTTACTTCCTTTTAATAGAACCCAAACCCCCGCCTAGTGTTTTAAATGCTTACCAACTGGATCTCTTTTATAGAACCTAAAAAGAAGGGAGCTTCCTCTTACACTAGTAATTGTGACTCTGTTATGGTACAATAAAAAGTCCAACTTGTTTTAATTCTGGTTTTCCTATTATGAATTTACAGAACTGTACAATTCCTAATTACCGTTAATTTCAACGCAATGTAGAGAACACCCCAAAATACATTGAAATTTATTGACAGCCTCCCCCTGTTTTAACAAAAATTTAATGATTACTCATCATTTCCTTTACACGGCCAATTTTTGTTTGTATAAATATATTTGTATGTAAGAGCCCGTGATTATTTTGTTTACGTTACTTTCTCTCCCATTTTACTTTCACGTTAAAAATCGTTAAAATGAACAAATATATTTTTATTTGTACTTTGCTAAATATTTCGTTTTGCTTTTCGGCTTTGGCTTTACCTGAAGGAAGCATAGATAATGAAAAGGTACGTTATCTAGAGATCAGACCCTTGACCAGATTTTTGAACTTGAGTCAAGGAAAAGCCTTGATCTTGTCTCCGGATCCAACAAAATTCAAAATCTTGATCCAGATCCAGGCCGATCTCTAATGTTACCCTTCTACAATTGTAAACTGTTCTATCTCTAAAGGTATCAGTCTCTGAATTTGTTGAAAACAACAATAATAATGAGCCTCTAACAAGAGTTAAACGGAGGTATGATGACCGCTATTGGACTCCCAGACAAGTTGTTGAAGCGATTCTTTGTGTTTTTCTGCCCCCTGTAGCAGTTTTACTGCATGGCGGTGAGTCTCTTATTTTGATTAGTATATGTAAAAACAAGAAATTCAGGCCCGGACATGTTACTTCATTTAATCATTAACATTGTGCTTTGGATTTGTGGTTGGATTCCGGGTGCTATCCATGCATTCTGGTACTGCTTCTATCGTTATTAATCCAAGAAAACTGCGACTTTCGTTTAAACTTTCAAAAAAATATTTTTAATTGCTTATTGCAATTGTTTGTTGTGATTCTATTGTACAATTATACAATTTATTTTAATACATATTTTCATCTGAAAAGGACAAATCTTTATTATACGTTCTGGGGTGCACCTCAATTTAGCCCCGACTCGTTGGAGCCCCGTCACCCCAACTTATGTAGGGTGAATAATTTATAATATTCTTGGCTACCACTGGGTAGAAAATAAAATACATTACACGATAACAAAAGAATTCTTGACTGATCGACAAAAAGGTTGAGATCGATAAAGTCTCGGAAAATCACATTTTTAAAGATCACTTTTATAAGAATACTTTTGATTTGAAAATGATTAAAATTCGATAATTGGTATAATTGTACAAAATCTAATCTTACTACAAATTGCACTTTTTTACATTTTATTGAACATTTTTATTAATTATTCTAATTTACTTGCAATAAATACACAAAATTTTTATTTAATTTCTTTTTTAACGATTCTCTACATAGCCTCCTTAGTGCCACCATCTTCGTTCCTTCGGAAATTGTGAACTTGAAGAACTTCAGTCAGGAAATGACGGAAATCAACTATATAATGTAAGGATGATTCACCTAGCAGCATTTAAAACGCTTAGGCGGGGGATAAACGATCTAAAAAGGAAAAAGAGAAAGCATTAGTCGATGCCCCGGTAGCTCAACGGTAGAGCTCCTGCATATAGTGAGCGAAAGCGCCTAGCAACAACTAGCAGGTGGTCGCAGGTTCGAATCCTGCCCGGTGGCTAAACTTTTGCAAACTCTTTCTGGTGCCGCTAGCAGGGATCCCCACTTGCTGATGGGTGAACCAGCCGATCCACGGTCATGGCGCTTGACCGAGGGACCGGTCTGATGTAGGGATGGAGATGTAAGGATGATTCACCTAGCAGCATTTAAAACGCTTAGGCGGGGGATAAACGATCTAAAAAGGAAAAAGAGAAAGCATTAGTCGATGCCCCGGTAGCTCAACGGTAGAGCTCCTGCATATAGTGAGCGAAAGCGCCTAGCAACAACTAGCAGGTGGTCGCAGGTTCGAATCCTGCCCGGTGGCTAAACTTTTGCAAACTCTTTCTATAATTTAAAAAATATAAAAATTAAAAAACAAAGTATAAAAAAATATAAAAATTAAAAAACAAAGTAAAAATTCCAAACCTTTTCAGATTTATACTTGTATTAGACAGAAGGAATTAGAGATTAACACCGGGTAAATATGTATTTTTTAATGATTAAAAGCCCCCTCCGAAGCAGAGGGCAGGTCCAATGTACAAAACGGCACATGGACACACCAAAATTTGTGCCCCCTGCACGAAGGCAGGGGGACTTGAGTTGCCCCCTGCACGAAGGCAGGGGGACTTGAGTTGCCCCCTGCACGGAGGCAGGGGGACTTGAGTTGCCCCCTGCACGAAGGCAGGGGGACTTGAGTTGCCCCCTGCACGAAGGCAGGGGGACTTGAGTTGCCCCCTGCACGAAGGCAGGGGGACTTGAGTTGCCCCCTGCACGAAGGCAGGGGGACTTGAGTTGCCCCCTGCACGGAGGCAGGGGGACTTGAGTTGCCCCCTGCACGAAGGCAGGGGGACTTGAGTTGCCCCCTGCACGAAGGCAGGGGGACTTGAGTTGCCCCCTGCACGGAGGCAGGGGGACTTGAGTTGCCCCCTGCACGAAGGCAGGGGGACTTGAGTTGCCCCCTGCACGAAGGCAGGGGGACTTGAGTTGCCCCCTGCACGGAGGCAGGGGGACTTGAGTTGCCCCCTGCACGAAGGCAGGGGGACTTGAGTTGCCCCCTGCACGAAGGCAGGGGGACTTGAGTTGCCCCCTGCACGAAGGCAGGGGGACTTGAGTTGCCCCCTGCACGAAGGCAGGGGGACTTGAGTTGCCCCCTGCACGAAGGCAGGGGGACTTGAGTTGCCCCCTGCACGGAGGCAGGGGGACTTGAGTTGCCCCCTGCACAAAGGCAGGGGGACTTGAGTTGCCCCCTGCACGGAGGCAGAGGGACTTGAGTTGCCCCCTGCACGAAGGCAGGGGGACTTGAGTTGCCCCCTGCACGAAGGCAGGGGGACTTGAGTTGCCCCCTGCACGGAGGCAGGGGGAATTGAGTTGCCCCCTGCACGAAGGCAAGGGGACTTGAGTTGCCCCCTGCACGAAGGCAGGGGGACTTGAGTTGCCCCCTGCACGGAGGCAGGGGGACTTGAGTTGCCCCCTGCACGAAGGCAGGGGGACTTGAGTTGCCCCCTGCACGAAGGCAGGGGGACTTGAGTTGCCCCCTGCACGGAGGCAGGGGGACTTGAGTTGCCCCCTGCACGAAGGCAGGGGGACTTGAGTTGCCCCCTGCACGAAGGCAGGGGGACTTGAGTTGCCCCCTGCACGGAGGCAGGGGGACTTGAGTTGCCCCCTGCCCGAAGGCAGGGGGACTTGAGTTGCCCCCTGCACGGAGGCAGGGGGACTTGAGTTGCCCCCTGCACGAAGGCAGGGGGACTTGAGTTGCCCCCTGCACGAAGGCAGGGGGACTTGAGTTGCCCCCTGCACGGAGGCAGGGGGACTTGAGTTGCTCCCTGCACGAAGGCAGGGGGACTTGAGTTGCCCCCTGCACGAAGGCAGGGGGACTTGAGTTGCCCCCTGCACGAAGGCAGGGGGACTTGAGTTGCCCCCTGCACGAAGGCAGGGGGACTTGAGTTGCCCCCTGCACGAAGGCAGGGGGACTTGAGTTGCCCCCTGCACGAAGGCAGGGGGACTTGAGTTGCCCCCTGCACGAAGGCAGGGGGACTTGAGTTGCCCCCTGCACGAAGGCAGGGGGACTTGAGTTGCCCCCTGCACGAAGGCAGGGGGACTTGAGTTGCCCCCTGCACGGAGGCAGGGGGACTTGAGTTGCCCCCTGCACAAAGGCAGGGGGACTTGAGTTGCCCCCTGCACGGAGGCAGGGGGACTTGAGTTGCCCCCTGCACGAAGGCAGGGGGACTTGAGTTGCCCCCTGCACGGAGGCAGGGGGACTTGAGTTGCCCCCTGCACGAAGGCAGGGGGACTTGAGTTGCCCCCTGCACGGAGGCAGGGGGACTTGAGTTGCCCCCTGCACGAAGGCAGGGGGACTTGAGTTGCCCCCTGCACGGAGGCAGGGGGACTTGAGTTGCCCCTGCACGAAGGCAGGGGGACTTGAGTTGCCCAGGGGGACTTTAGTTGATGTTGAAGATGTCGAAGAGTTGTTGTTGAAGTTTTGTCCCAGTCATCCGAGGATGAAGAATCTGTCGAAGACGAGTCTAAAAAAAGACAATAAATACACGAAAAGATATTCAAAAAAAACCTGAGGAATCTGAATCAGATGAAGAAGAATCGTCGCTCTCATCTTTTTTCTTTTAACGCATCACATGCTTCATCTTTTTGATTTCCTTCTTTTGTTCACGCTTTTCCTTGATTTTTTCCAAAAGCTTTTCCATCATAGATTTTTCCATTTCCTTTGCTTCTTTGTGTATTATTGTACTTGCTTTTTTAAGTCTAAAAAAGTTTTTATAAATATTTATTCGACAAAAAAAAAGTTAAAAATTAGCCATCTTGACCAAACGGTAAGGAGAAATATCGAGACGGACATGTAGGGATTGCTGTGACAAAAATTAACTTTTCCCGATTTACATTGGGTCTAAAACATAGGAACTCTTCCCTTCAATAAGACTATCCAAGACATAGTGGCCGTAGGTCCCAAAAACTTTAGAATAGTTGTTTGGACCTTGAAATATCCCTATATGTCTCCCAACCGAATGTATCGATTAACTAATTAATTTCCTTACTTCTCCATTGAAGATCCACCAACAAAAGAAGCATCAATACCTAATGCCCACCGCATATTGCTTCGTCCTTGTTTTGCCACTTTTGCACGAGAATGTGAATTACGCAAATCGGCCACTTTCAAATTTCTTCTTGACTGAATCCCTAAAAAATTGAAAAAAGAATTTCCGTTTTTCTATTAAAAACTTCAAACCTTTCCTTCCACCAAGTCTTCAAATTCCACACAATTTCAATTAACCGCTTATATTCATGATCCAACAACTCCAAATTTGGTGTTTTATTTACTTCTGCTTCGGCACGAGCAATATCCTCTTCAGCATTGTAAACGATTTTATCCTAAAAAAACGAAGAAAATTTTGGAGAAAAAGATAACTAAAAAATACCCGTGAAAAGCTAACTATAAGACTAGCAACATTTGACTGAACATAAGCATTTGTACCGGAACCACGAGCTGTTGACAAACCAACGTTGTTGTATGTACATTTTTAAATTTTAAAGAATACTGAGTAAAACTTAAATGAAAAAAAAAATTAATAAAATCGAAAAACCAATAAAATAAGCCCTCACAAATGACGCGAAGGCAAAAACGAAAAAAGGCCCTATACAAAAAATCGATTCGCAAATAAAATCGATTCGGCCAAAATGGGAAAAGATCGACACTATTGAAAAGGCCAGTTGAGTCTGAACATAATTATGTATGACCAATAGACTCTTCACTGGAAAAACTTTTTTGTGCTGCTACGGAGGGTAGGCCGGGCATGGTCTTCGCTACATGATGGCCGTGCTTCGCTCGTTCCGCTCGACATGCCCGGCTTCCTCCGCTGCGGCAAAAACTTTTTTCCGCGGATTGCCGGACTCTTTTAACCCCTTTTGGCCGAATCGATTTTTTCAAATAATCGATCTTTTGTGGGGACACGCGACAAAATGGTTGCGACAAAATGGTAAACTTGTTTGTTTAAGAGGGGGCACGCCCGAATAGTCGCATACCAAAGGGTCGTGACTAAATATTCAGTCGCAGGCCAAAGGGTCGCGACTATTCGGCCTTCGATTATTCGGGCTTTACCCGTTTAAGTTTAAGAGTCTTGCTACAAATTTTTTTGGAATTTTCAATTTTTAAGATTTACATATTTTCCATAATTTCTTCAAAATAATCCTTTAGATTTCCTTAATCAACGCATTTTCAATTTTTTAAATTTTATTAATTTTTATTTTAGAATAAATTACTCTTAAAAATGGCTACAACATCAAAATCAACAGAGGATTCTACTGAATCAAAATCGGAACCAACACAATCAGCTACAATTTCAAATAAAGACCAATCTGTGCCTCTTATTGAAAAAAATTCTGAAAAGGTTGTTGCAACTCCAAAGAGCTCCCCGCCAAAAGAAAAAATTGTCCCAGAAACTTCTGCTCCAGAAGAAATTAAAATTGCAGCAGAAAAAACGGCCAAACAACCCCCCAAATTGGATGATTTTTATCAACTGGGTCGCTATACTTATATTGTTTGTATTTTTGCTGAATTGCTTATTTTATCTCAGGTTTATTTTTAATTTAAAAATTTTTTCTGTAATGTATTGTTGTTGCTAGAAGACTTTTTCGGGCTTTAACGTCAAATTCAGAAAAGATTGCCCTTAGGCAAAGATTGGGATTGTTTTTTTTATTAATTGTAAATAGCCAACAAAACACCACTTTGTTAAATGAGTACTTGGGTTTTCTGCTTCTGTAATCTGATTAAAAACTTCATCGTTTTTGGCTATTGAGGTGAGAAGCTGCTGAATTTTTTTTTAGTTTTTTGTCACGAAAATTGATTGTCCTTGTACAACTTGTTAGTTGAAGACGTTCAATTCCCCTCAGGGACCTGCTTTACCAGATGGTGTCTTTGGTGGTTATTTCTCTAAAGTGTCCATGCTTATTGTTAAAATTTATCCCAGTAACCTACTTTAAATAGTGGTTTTTGCTGGCATTTCTCTTAATGGGGTTGAAAACGTTCTTTTTTAACTTTTAACAAAAATTTACCAATTTTTTAAAGGTTGGAAATATGCTTTATATGACTTATGCTGGTGCTGCTCCTTCTCTCGTGTCTTGTGGAAACCACCAATTTGAAGAAAAGTCTGCAAAAGAGCGTTGTAATGCATTGAATGGATTACTTGGAGATTTTAAAAGGTTTTATTTTTTTCAATTTTTTAAAATTTTTTCTATAGGTCTAAAAGTCTTGATTGTGACAATTCTACTTTGAAGTGGAAAAGTCAGTTTAATTCCGTCAACGTTGAATTTGGACATCATTGGTAATTTTTTTATTAATGTAGGGAAAAATAGTTTTGGATGCAATGCCAAAAAAGGCAAATTTAAGCTCTTTAGTGATTTGAAAATGAAATGTGTTTTGTAGTACTCTTGGTCGTTTATTCAGGGAGCTATCCTAAAAAAATTTTTTAGATGGGTGAGGCTTAATAATACAATTTATTTCGCCAGAAATTATTATAACTTGACCGGCCTTTATTTAATTTTCTAATTAGCAACTAGACGGAATTTGCGTTTTTTGGCACTTCCAGCAAAAATTCTGAAATGTTTTCATTAAAAAGATTTTTTCTCCCTTAAAGACACTAAAATAAAAATTATTTTTCTCAGTGAATCCCAACTCGTCAAGTCAACAATTTCTTATCAAATGGTTGGTGTTATTATTGGATCAATGGTTTTTGGATATTTGAGCGACTCTTATGGACGAAAGAAAATTATGTTAATCGCCTTAATTTGTTGTATTTTGTGTATGGTGGCTACCTCTTTTACTAATGGTTTTTCTTTTTTTAATTAGAAATCTCTTAAAAAATTTTTTCCAACAGATTTAATTTCGTTTACAATCGTTCGCTTTTTTGTCAACTTTTTCAATGCTGGCACAATGGTTATTCTTGTTGTTTTTACATCGGAACATTATCCAAATAGCCATCGTTTTTGCCTTTCTAATTTAATTACATGGTAATTTTTAAAGAAATTTTTGAAGGAATTTTTTGACTTTTGTGATTTTTAGACGTTTTTAATTTTTCAGAATGTTCTGATTTTTTCAGAATTTTTTTTGATTTTTGATTTCAGAATTTTTGGAAAAAATCAGAGTTCATAATTTTCAATTCAAAAAAATTTTCTTAAAGGTCTCCCAATTTTGTTTTCTTTGCAATAATGGCTTGGGCTGCTGGTGATTGGCGTATTCTTCAACGTGTTTCAGCCATTTTTGCTTTACCCTGCATTGCTTTGCTTTTATTTTTATCAGAATCTCCGCGTTTTCTTATTCAATCTCGACAAATTGGGGAAGCAAAAAAGGCAATTATTCGAATGCACAAAATTGATGGTTTCTTTTATTTCTAAAAATTTCTAAAAATTATTCTATTAAAAAGGACGTCCTTATGATGAGGCTGTAATTGATTCTGTTCTGGAAGGATTGGAGAAACAATCTTTGGAGTCGTCTAATAAAAATAAAAAATATAATTATGTGAGGTTTATTTAATTTTTAGAAAAAATTCTGAATTAAAAATTCCGAGAATTCTGAAAAAGGGTTGTTGATCTTTTCTTCTTGGTTCGTCCGGAAAACGAGAATGTGTCACGAAACTCGGGACAAAATTCACGTAATTTTTGCATGCGGCGCTGGAAAATAGCAATTTTTGAGCGTGGTAGTATTCCTATTTAGTCGTGACGAAATTTCGAGGCACTGCCCTCCCCCAAAAATTTTTAGTTCAGTTTCGGATATCCGAAGAAGATTTTTCAATTACCGACAACCCTCATTCTGAAAAATTTTTTTTCAGAATTTCTAACTTAAAAATTTATTATGATTTTCTGAATTTAATTAGTTCTCATGTTAGTTCAGAATTTTAAGTACTTAAAAATTCTAAAAAAAATAATAAGACGAAATTACTATTCATTTTTCAGCTCCATCTTTTCTACACTTTGAGGTTTACTCGCTACACTTTAGCTGTTGCATTTAGCTTTTTGGTTGTTTCTTTAATGAATTATTCTCTTCTCTACAATATGGATAAATTATCTGGTTCTCTTTTCATGAATGGAATTTTTATGGGATTATTTCGTTATTCAATGAATTTAACTATTGGATTTTTGGATATAAATGTTAAACGATTGGGAAGGAAATTTGCCCATTTTATGGCGGATGCTTTAGCTGCTTTTGCAATTTCAATTTATGTTGTTATTTATCTTTTGGGTATTTTTTAAAAACATTTTTTATTTCTTTTTTGATATTTCAATTACCATGATTTTTCTAATAGACGCCCATCTTTAATAGATGCTCCTTCAATGAGACTCATCGTAAAAATAAAATCTATACCCCAATTGAGGCCCCTCTCTAATAGAACTCGTCAATGAGTCCAATTGAAGAATAAGTGTCTATGCCCCAATGGAAACCCGTCCCTAATACATAGAAGCCCACTCAATCAGATCCGTTGAAAAAAGTCAGGACTTCTTGTTGGAACATTTACAGGCTATAAAATTTTTTGCAAACTTTACTGAAATTTTTTTCTAATTTTCATTAAACAGATCTTCAACATGATTATTCATTTATTTCTCGTGCCTCAATCCTCTCTGTTATTGGATTTTGTTCAATTCTTTATACAACTAATGGATTGGCTTCTAATGAATTATTCCCTACTGCTATAAGAAACACTTCATATTCTTTTGGTCAGGTGCTAAGCCGTATTGGTGTTGTTTTGGCTCCTCAACTTTTTGTTTTGGTTTGTGGTTTTTTTTAATTTTTTTTTGCTGTGAAAATTTTTTCTGGAATTTTTTGAAAATTTGAAATTTTTCAAGGAATTTTTTTCGAAAATTATTTTGGCATTTCTATTCATTTATTAAATTCAAAAAAATTTTTTTCCAGGGAAATATTTGGGAACTCTTGCCTTATTTAACTTTATTGGTGCTAGCTGTTGCAGATGCCTTATTTTTCCAGGTTTTTTCCTCGATTTTTCAAAATTAATTTTTTTCTTTTAAAAACAGTTCAATGTATTTGAAACTAAAGGGAAGCCAATGCTTTCAAAATTTCCATCAAAGGAAGAAAGAATTTTTTACGGACGTATTCCTTTTCGTAGAAGACAAGAAAAGCGTGATGTTGAATTGTTGCCGAGAGAAGGGAAAAATGATAATGTTTAAAATAGAATGAAAAAATTGAAATCCTTATTTCCTCATATTTTTTTTGAAAATTCCTAAAGAATAATACACATTGTTCTGTTTCTTATCTGTCATATAAATTTTGTCTGAGGGATTTCTAATGGGAAATGTTCTGAAACATTTGATTATCCGAAAATATTTCCGTTGCTTGACATTGTTCATTTTGTTTACACTTTGAAATACCTTGAGTTTACATTTTGAAGTCCCCCGCGAAAGGAAATAGTGTGTTATACTCTTACAGAGAAAAAATTATATTTTCTTATTACGCGTATTGATTTTTGTCCGCCATTATTTTGGCTTTGTACTATTATTGATTTTTTCTTTTTTTCTTTGTCTAATATTCTCTCTTTTAACTGCAATCTTTTTTTTAGATCTTCCATTCTTTGACCAATTCCTTTCTCTTTGGTCAGCCATGTTTTGCCGCGCGAACATTACCTCATCAATCAGCCCAAATTTTGGCTTTCCCTTTTCCTGTTTTATCAGGTTTTTTTGATTTCGATATCTTTATCTGTATTTTATTTTATAGCAATGTTCGCCACACCAGATGCTGCTGATGTTCATCCGCCTCCTACTGCAGAAGAAGCCAGGCGTTGCTTCCTCTTTGATGCTGGGTGGAAGCTTGGGGGAACACCTAAATGGGTGGAGGTTTGGGGGAACCACCTTGTTTTCCATATGTCTGGGGAACATAGACTGACCTGAACAGTATAAGGGAAACCTTAACGACTGTCAATTTTCTAAATTTTATTTAAAATTTTTTTATTTCAGGTTGCGGCTTTTCGGGCAAAACTAATTTAAGTCTGAGGTCTTTTTGAATTTTTTGAATCAACTCTTAATGGTATGCTGCTCTGTCAAAAACATGGTTTAATTGGAAATTGGTTAGGGGTTTTGGGTCATGTTTCGGATGTCTTAGTTGTCAGGGGTTAGGCTGACTAATCAAAGATCGACCACCTTTTGGTCATCATGAGGAATTCGCATTTGGTCACTTCGGTAGATCATTAGGGTCCAAGTGATAGATCATGAGGAGTCCCTTTGATTAGTCAGAAATTATCAAAGATCGCCCTTTTGGTCATCATGAGGAATTCGCATTTGGTCACTTCGGTAGATCATTAGGGTCCAAGTGATAGATCAAGAGGGGTCCCTTTGATTGGACAGGGGTTTTGGGTCATGTTTTGGATGTCTTAGTTGTCAGGGGTTAGGCTGACTAATCAAAGATCGACCACCTTTTGGTCATCATGAGGAATTCGCATTTGGTCACTTCGGTAGATCATTAGGGTCCAAGTGATAGATCATGAGGAGTCCCTTTGATTAGTCAGAAATTATCAAAGATCGCCCTTTTGGTCATCATGAGGAATTCGCATTTGGTCACTTCGGTAGATCATTAGGGTCCAAGTGATAGATCAAGAGGGGTCCCTTTGATTGGATTTGCCCTTTAAATGAAGATCTATCTTTTATTTGAGCAGCATATTATTCTTTTCTGGACAGCGCTTTTTTGGGCGGCTTTGCAATATGCAGAAAATGAAGTACATGAAGGACGCGCGCGTAAATTTTTAGGTTTGTTTTTATTTTTTGTTAGGGTTTCCCTTAATACTGTTCTAAAAGAGTCAATTTTTTTCATTCTATGTCCGAGGTATAGGTGGTATCCAGCATTTCCACGACCTCGCAAATTATATCTGTCCCTTGAGTTCCATTGGTTTGTTTAAGTTCCACCGCCGTCTTCATTATCAATTCAGTAGTCAATCACTCAAGCTTCATCAATCCTCTTTATCTGCTCCATCAGTTTTTATTTATTCATATTTTTATTTTCACAATAACCGCCTATGTTTGAGAAGCGTGGTGACTTGGTGACTTGACTACTTCAAATGTCACGCCTATGTTTGAGAAGCGTGGTGACTTGGTGACTTGACTACTTCAAATGTTTTGGTTAAAAAGACGGTTTGTTATTAAATTATTAGAAAAATTTTTTAATCCCTTTTAAATCAGACAATAAAATTTAATTTTCGAATACTATTTTTTGGTTTTGACTTTTTTTGTGGATATGGGTTCGAATCCCATCAATAGACAATTTGGTACTACTGAAGAAAAGGGTGCTTTTTCTGCGGACTTATTTTGCGGACTTTTTCCTTTCTTTCTTTTTTAATGTTTTGGTTGTTTTGCTTGTAGCGAGTTTTGCTTGTAGCAACTAACTGTCAAAGGATTAATTTTTATGCCAATTTGAAAAATATGTGTTCACCATTAATTTGAACATTATAAACGATGATGAATGAATTTCAACTATGGATCACTGATCTCGGAATGCTTCATAGAAAAAGAATATGTGATTGTGGATCAAAATGCGGGTAATTTCAAACCTTGTCCCCCCCCCCCCTCCATTATTTTTATTACCTAAGATTGTACAAAATGGTCAGATTTCCTTCTTCCTCTCTTTCCTCTATTTGAGCTTGGCATATTCAAACCAGAAACATTGTTAAAGAGAATAATAAAATTAATTGAGTTGTTCAATATTGAGTTCAATTTTTTTTCAGTTGTTAAATTAGTTTTAAATATAAGTAAGAATGTAATGTTTTTACACAGAAATTCATAATGTTATAGACTAAATCAATTTTATTTAATTCTTTTTTTGTTTAACATCGTTTTCGGAGGCAAAAAATAAGTGTATGACTATAAAATTAATCTTCTCTTTATCAATGTCTCTTGTTTGAATATGCCACAGGGCAAATAGAGGAAGGAGGGCTGTTGATTTGTATGTTTTGGAAAGGGCAATAAAAAGGTTTTTAAAAATTAAATTTAAAATAAAATTAAAAAATTCTTTTAAAGCGCTCATATTGGAATGGAAATGTTATTGAACAAAGCTTTACAGGCTTATAAAGAAGGAGGAAAGGATGCTGAAAATGTTCTTTTGAGGCTGGAAGAAGTTAGAATGAGAGGGAGGAAAAGGGATATGTTAGGTTAATTTATAATTTTTGTTTAAATTTTTTATAAGAGAAGAATTGTTTAATTATTTTTGCTAGTTTTATTTTTGCACTATTTGTTCTGAAAGTTAATCCCTCTTTAGATATTTTAATTAGTTTACACTTTGAAATGCCTTTAGTTTACATTTTGAAGTCCCTCGCAAAGCGAAATAGTGTGTTATACTTTTGCAGAGAAACAAAGTTTACTTTTTATAACGCGTATTGATTTTTGTCGGCCATTGTTTTTGGCTATGTACAGGGTGTCCCAACTAAAAAGCACTATTTTAAAAATTAATAACTTTTTATTATTTTGACAGATTTTAATGATTTTTGGTATTTTATATCTATAATTTATGAGAATTTTTTTGACATAAAAATTATGTCGAAATTCGAACCCTGGGGAACATAGTCTGGGGAACATAGACTGACCTGAACAGTATAAGGGAAACCTTAACGACTGTCAATTTTCTAAATTTTATTTAAAATTTTTTTATTTCAGGTTGCGGCTTTTCGGGCAAAACTAATTTAAGTCTGAGGTCTTTTTGAATTTTTTGAATCAACTCTTAATGGTATGCTGCTCTGTCAAAAACATGGTTTAATTGGAAATTGGTTAGGGGTTTTGGGTCATGTTTCGGATGTCTTAGTTGTCAGGGGTTAGGCTGACTAATCAAAGATCGACCACCTTTTGGTCATCATGAGGAATTCGCATTTGGTCACTTCGGTAGATCATTAGGGTCCAAGTGATAGATCATGAGGAGTCCCTTTGATTAGTCAGAAATTATCAAAGATCGCCCTTTTGGTCATCATGAGGAATTCGCATTTGGTCACTTCGGTAGATCATTAGGGTCCAAGTGATAGATCAAGAGGGGTCCCTTTGATTGGACAGGGGTTTTGGGTCATGTTTTGGATGTCTTAGTTGTCAGGGGTTAGGCTGACTAATCAAAGATCGACCACCTTTTGGTCATCATGAGGAATTCGCATTTGGTCACTTCGGTAGATCATTAGGGTCCAAGTGATAGATCATGAGGAGTCCCTTTGATTAGTCAGAAATTATCAAAGATCGCCCTTTTGGTCATCATGAGGAATTCGCATTTGGTCACTTCGGTAGATCATTAGGGTCCAAGTGATAGATCAAGAGGGGTCCCTTTGATTGGATTTGCCCTTTAAATGAAGATCTATCTTTTATTTGAGCAGCATATTATTCTTTTCTGGACAGCGCTTTTTTGGGCGGCTTTGCAATATGCAGAAAATGAAGTACATGAAGGACGCGCGCGTAAATTTTTAGGTTTGTTTTTATTTTTTGTTAGGGTTTCCCTTAATACTGTTCTAAAAGAGTCAATTTTTTTCATTCTATGTCCGAGGTATAGGTGGTATCCAGCATTTCCACGACCTCGCAAATTATATCTGTCCCTTGAGTTCCATTGGTTTGTTTAAGTTCCACCGCCGTCTTCATTATCAATTCAGTAGTCAATCACTCAAGCTTCATCAATCCTCTTTATCTGCTCCATCAGTTTTTATTTATTCATATTTTTATTTTCACAATAACCGCCTATGTTTGAGAAGCGTGGTGACTTGGTGACTTGACTACTTCAAATGTCACGCCTATGTTTGAGAAGCGTGGTGACTTGGTGACTTGACTACTTCAAATGTTTTGGTTAAAAAGACGGTTTGTTATTAAATTATTAGAAAAATTTTTTAATCCCTTTTAAATCAGACAATAAAATTTAATTTTCGAATACTATTTTTTGGTTTTGACTTTTTTTGTGGATATGGGTTCGAATCCCATCAATAGACAATTTGGTACTACTGAAGAAAAGGGTGCTTTTTCTGCGGACTTATTTTGCGGACTTTTTCCTTTCTTTCTTTTTTAATGTTTTGGTTGTTTTGCTTGTAGCGAGTTTTGCTTGTAGCAACTAACTGTCAAAGGATTAATTTTTATGCCAATTTGAAAAATATGTGTTCACCATTAATTTGAACATTATAAACGATGATGAATGAATTTCAACTATGGATCACTGATCTCGGAATGCTTCATAGAAAAAGAATATGTGATTGTGGATCAAAATGCGGGTAATTTCAAACCTTGTCCCCCCCCCCCCTCCATTATTTTTATTACCTAAGATTGTACAAAATGGTCAGATTTCCTTCTTCCTCTCTTTCCTCTATTTGAGCTTGGCATATTCAAACCAGAAACATTGTTAAAGAGAATAATAAAATTAATTGAGTTGTTCAATATTGAGTTCAATTTTTTTTCAGTTGTTAAATTAGTTTTAAATATAAGTAAGAATGTAATGTTTTTACACAGAAATTCATAATGTTATAGACTAAATCAATTTTATTTAATTCTTTTTTTGTTTAACATCGTTTTCGGAGGCAAAAAATAAGTGTATGACTATAAAATTAATCTTCTCTTTATCAATGTCTCTTGTTTGAATATGCCACAGGGCAAATAGAGGAAGGAGGGCTGTTGATTTGTATGTTTTGGAAAGGGCAATAAAAAGGTTTTTAAAAATTAAATTTAAAATAAAATTAAAAAATTCTTTTAAAGCGCTCATATTGGAATGGAAATGTTATTGAACAAAGCTTTACAGGCTTATAAAGAAGGAGGAAAGGATGCTGAAAATGTTCTTTTGAGGCTGGAAGAAGTTAGAATGAGAGGGAGGAAAAGGGATATGTTAGGTTAATTTATAATTTTTGTTTAAATTTTTTATAAGAGAAGAATTGTTTAATTATTTTTGCTAGTTTTATTTTTGCACTATTTGTTCTGAAAGTTAATCCCTCTTTAGATATTTTAATTAGTTTACACTTTGAAATGCCTTTAGTTTACATTTTGAAGTCCCTCGCAAAGCGAAATAGTGTGTTATACTTTTGCAGAGAAACAAAGTTTACTTTTTATAACGCGTATTGATTTTTGTCGGCCATTGTTTTTGGCTATGTACAGGGTGTCCCAACTAAAAAGCACTATTTTAAAAATTAATAACTTTTTATTATTTTGACAGATTTTAATGATTTTTGGTATTTTATATCTATAATTTATGAGAATTTTTTTGACATAAAAATTATGTCGAAATTCGAACCCTGGGGAACATAGTCTGGGGAACATAGACTGACCTGAACAGTATAAGGGAAACCTTAACGACTGTCAATTTTCTAAATTTTATTTAAAATTTTTTTATTTCAGGTTGCGGCTTTTCGGGCAAAACTAATTTAAGTCTGAGGTCTTTTTGAATTTTTTGAATCAACTCTTAATGGTATGCTGCTCTGTCAAAAACATGGTTTAATTGGAAATTGGTTAGGGGTTTTGGGTCATGTTTCGGATGTCTTAGTTGTCAGGGGTTAGGCTGACTAATCAAAGATCGACCACCTTTTGGTCATCATGAGGAATTCGCATTTGGTCACTTCGGTAGATCATTAGGGTCCAAGTGATAGATCATGAGGAGCCCTTTGATTAGTCAGAAATTATCAAAGATCGCCCTTTTGGTCATCATGAGGAATTCGCATTTGGTCACTTCGGTAGATCATTAGGGTCCAAGTGATAGATCAAGAGGGGTCCCTTTGATTGGACAGGGGTTTTGGGTCATGTTTTGGATGTCTTAGTTGTCAGGGGTTAGGCTGACTAATCAAAGATCGACCACCTTTTGGTCATCATGAGGAATTCGCATTTGGTCACTTCGGTAGATCATTAGGGTCCAAGTGATAGATCATGAGGAGTCCCTTTGATTAGTCAGAAATTATCAAAGATCGCCCTTTTGGTCATCATGAGGAATTCGCATTTGGTCACTTCGGTAGATCATTAGGGTCCAAGTGATAGATCAAGAGGGGTCCCTTTGATTGGATTTGCCCTTTAAATGAAGATCTATCTTTTATTTGAGCAGCATATTATTCTTTTCTGGACAGCGCTTTTTTGGGCGGCTTTGCAATATGCAGAAAATGAAGTACATGAAGGACGCGCGCGTAAATTTTTAGGTTTGTTTTTATTTTTTGTTAGGGTTTCCCTTAATACTGTTCTAAAAGAGTCAATTTTTTTCATTCTATGTCCGAGGTATAGGTGGTATCCAGCATTTCCACGACCTCGCAAATTATATCTGTCCCTTGAGTTCCATTGGTTTGTTTAAGTTCCACCGCCGTCTTCATTATCAATTCAGTAGTCAATCACTCAAGCTTCATCAATCCTCTTTATCTGCTCCATCAGGTTTTTATTTATTCATATTTTTATTTTCACAATAACCGCCTATGTTTGAGAAGCGTGGTGACTTGGTGACTTGACTACTTCAAATGTCACGCCTATGTTTGAGAAGCGTGGTGACTTGGTGACTTGACTACTTCAAATGTTTTGGTTAAAAAGACGGTTTGTTATTAAATTATTAGAAAAATTTTTTAATCCCTTTTAAATCAGACAATAAAATTTAATTTTCGAATACTATTTTTTGGTTTTGACTTTTTTTGTGGATATGGGTTCGAATCCCATCAATAGACAATTTGGTACTACTGAAGAAAAGGGTGCTTTTTCTGCGGACTTATTTTGCGGACTTTTTCCTTTCTTTCTTTTTTAATGTTTTGGTTGTTTTGCTTGTAGCGAGTTTTGCTTGTAGCAACTAACTGTCAAAGGATTAATTTTTATGCCAATTTGAAAAATATGTGTTCACCATTAATTTGAACATTATAAACGATGATGAATGAATTTCAACTATGGATCACTGATCTCGGAATGCTTCATAGAAAAAGAATATGTGATTGTGGATCAAAATGCGGGTAATTTCAAACCTTGTCCCCCCCCCCCTCCATTATTTTTATTACCTAAGATTGTACAAAATGGTCAGATTTCCTTCTTCCTCTCTTTCCTCTATTTGAGCTTGGCATATTCAAACCAGAAACATTGTTAAAGAGAATAATAAAATTAATTGAGTTGTTCAATATTGAGTTCAATTTTTTTTCAGTTGTTAAATTAGTTTTAAATATAAGTAAGAATGTAATGTTTTTACACAGAAATTCATAATGTTATAGACTAAATCAATTTTATTTAATTCTTTTTTTGTTTAACATCGTTTTCGGAGGCAAAAAATAAGTGTATGACTATAAAATTAATCTTCTCTTTATCAATGTCTCTTGTTTGAATATGCCACAGGGCAAATAGAGGAAGGAGGGCTGTTGATTTGTATGTTTTGGAAAGGGCAATAAAAAGGTTTTTAAAAATTAAATTTAAAATAAAATTAAAAAATTCTTTTAAAGCGCTCATATTGGAATGGAAATGTTATTGAACAAAGCTTTACAGGCTTATAAAGAAGGAGGAAAGGATGCTGAAAATGTTCTTTTGAGGCTGGAAGAAGTTAGAATGAGAGGGAGGAAAAGGGATATGTTAGGTTAATTTATAATTTTTGTTTAAATTTTTTATAAGAGAAGAATTGTTTAATTATTTTTGCTAGTTTTATTTTTGCACTATTTGTTCTGAAAGTTAATCCCTCTTTAGATATTTTAATTAGTTTACACTTTGAAATGCCTTTAGTTTACATTTTGAAGTCCCTCGCAAAGCGAAATAGTGTGTTATACTTTTGCAGAGAAACAAAGTTTACTTTTTATAACGCGTATTGATTTTTGTCGGCCATTGTTTTTGGCTATGTACAGGGTGTCCCAACTAAAAAGCACTATTTTAAAAATTAATAACTTTTTATTATTTTGACAGATTTTAATGATTTTTGGTATTTTATATCTATAATTTATGAGAATTTTTTTGACATAAAAATTATGTCGAAATTCGAACCCTAACCCATTATTTCAATTTCGTACTCTACCGTTCTCTTTTTTCCCTCTTTTCATTGTGTGCTATCTTACTTCATTTATTTTCCTGCGTATGGCGAAGAGTGGATACTGTATTGAAAATGTAGTGTCTATCGCCTAGTGTTTACTCTAGTGTCTATCGCCGCTCAAAAAAACAAAAGGGAGTAAGAATGCATGTGCGGAAAAAGGGAAAAACAGAACGGTAGAGCACGAAATTATCTCGGGTTAGGGTTCGAATTTAGACATAATTTTCATGTCAAAAAAATTCTCATAAATTATAGATAGAAAATACCAAAAATCGTTAAAATCTGTCCACGCACTAAAAAGTTATTAAGTTTTAAAATAGTGCTTTTTAGTTGGGACACCCTGTACTATTATCGATTTTTTTGTCTAACATTCTCTCTTTTAACTACAATCTTTTTTTAGATCTTTCATTCTTTGACCAATTCCTTTCTCTTTGGTCAGCCATGTTTTGCTGCGCAAACATTACCTCATCAATCAGCGCAAATTTTCGCTTCCCTTTTTCCTGTTTCATCCGGTTTTTTTGATTTTGATATTTTTATCTGTATTTTATTTTATAGCAATGTTCGCCACACCAGATGCTGCTGTTGTACTTCTACCTCGTGGTGTTGGTAAGATGGTTCAACAGGAGTTTTCAATCCACCAATCTACGCTGCCGTCACTATTGACTTTTTCTTATAAATGGGGGGAGGTTTGGGGGAGCCACCTTGGGGAAACATCGAATGGGTTGAACAGTATAAGGCGAAACCTTAACAGTGTTAATTTTCTGAATTATTTTAAATATTTTTTTTTGCAGCCTGCTAGTTAATGTTTGGTTGGAAAAATTTTTGGTGGTTTGGTTTTCTGAGGTTTTTTGTCTTTAGAAAATACTTTTTAGATTTTATTTCCAATGGGTGCAGTAGATGGTGATTAAAAATAGATTAATGCTTCGATTGCATTTTGTTAGTTGTGGGGTCTCTGGATTTCATGTGGTCGTGCCACTTATTTTGACCGGTATTTCTCCTGGGGATCAGTCTTCGGGTCTTTTCTGGTGACTGTCGGGGTCTTTGACTTACTGACCCGTCAGGAGTCGACTTTACTGACTGTCAGGGTCTTTTTGACTTACTGACCCGTCAGGGTTGTGACTTACCGACTGTCAGGGTCTTTTTGACTTACTGACCCGTCAGGGTTGTGACTTACCGACTGTCAGGGTCTTTTTGACTTACTGACCCGTCGGGGTTGTGACTTACTGACTGTCAGGGTCTTCTTGACTTACTGACCCGTCGGGGTTGTGACTTACTGACTGTCAGGGTCTTTTTGACTTACTGACCCGTCAGGGTTGTGACTTACCGACTGTCAGGGTCTTTTTGACTTACTGACCCGTCGGGGTTGTGACTTACTGACTGTCAGGGTCTTCTTGACTTACTGACCCGTCGGGGTTGTGACTTACTGACTGTCAGGGTCTTTTTAACCCCGACAGTTGACTTTAAGTAATTCTTCATTTCGTACCCCCCCCCTCCACTCTTTTCTAACTCGTCGCTTATGCATTTGGTCTTTTCTGACTCGTTGGTCTGGGTTCTGGGTCTTCATATGGTCTGGGTCTTGGTCTGGTCTTCATGTCTGGGTCTTCATATGTAAACCAGCAGGCTTTGTGTTCTACAAATGTGTGCTGTGTGTAAAAAGGTTTGTTTTATTTCTTTATTGTTTTGTTAGGGTTTCCCTTATTACTGTTCAGTTGTTTTTCCAATTATATGGATGTTATAGTCGAGTCTGGTCTTTAAGTCCTTTTCCATTGGTACCCATGTCCCTCTTCTTACAGTGGTTGTTTGGTCGTTGTTCTTGCAGTTGTTCCCTCTTCTTCAATAGTTCAGTAGATCAATGCAATCGCCATCAAATTGCTTCTTCTCAACGTCTACAGGTTTTTATAAATTTTTCAAATTTAAATTAATTTTTAATTTTTTCTCTGGCCGTCGTTCTTCTTTGTAAGAATTTACAATATGACAACAGCAACAAGAATTAAATTTGGATGACCCAAAAATTTTTTAAAAATTCACAAGATCAACTTCCAGCAACCAAAAAATTAATGATTCTACTTTAAAACAATTTTATCCTTCTTTATGACAGAAAGATCAAAACGACCTGAAATTGCTTTTGTTATGGCTAAAATATTGGGGTATAGTCAAGAGGTTTGTTTAACTAAAACTTTAAAATTCATTTATTATATGCAGTCGATTCATTATTTGGAAATTTTCTTTGATTCGATAAAATTCGAAAAAATTGCATTTTGTATAATTTATTTAGCAATAAGTTCTTCTTTGAGTTCATCTTTAACGTTCAATATTGTTTGTAGAAACAATACCATAAAGCGTGAAGTACTCCAGGAAGAAATCCAAGCATTGTTAATACAATACTTAAAAAGAAATGTAAACAGCATTCGTCGCCTCCATGTAGGCAAACAGCAAGTGGCGGTAGGAAGATGGATAAAATCACTTCAATGATCTAATTTTTAAAAGTGTATTTGGGAGTTTGAAGTCAATTAATTTTTAAAATTATTCTACCTGTTGTAAGGTAATTTGTCCGCCACCCATGAGGAAATTTTTCTTGTGGAATTAAAGTGGAATAGAAATAAAATTAATCTGGAAAATGAATTAATTTTGAAATTTTGTGAGAAAAAAATGAGTAAAAACATGGTTATAACTTGAGGAAAAATAATATAAAATAAGGTTATAACTGATAATTAATACAAGAATTACAATTGTACAAGTAAAAAATGGCGCTGGTCTAGATCATGCGACAATGAACCTTTAATGACTCATAAATTTTCTTTGGACTCATGGAGGTATATATGAGTCGCCTTTATGAGTCAAATGAAAAGTTTATGTATGTATGAGTCATAAAAGTTCATTGAGTAGACTAGACTAGACCGGCGCGTAAAATTTTTATTCTAGAAAAGTGATAAAATTGAATAAAAAAATTTTTTTAAATTAATTGGTAGCCCTCCAAAAGCAGTACCACAAGGCATGAATTATTCTTGGAATAATTCCTATAAATGTTAATACAATGTTTAAAATAAAATGCAAAATCCATCCATTCCCTCCATGATACCAAATAGCGGCTGGAGGAATACAGAGGGCAATGAATAATTCAATGAGCTAAAATTGGAAAGAGTTGAGGGGTTTAAAATTTATTTTTTGACCTGTTTTCTGTCCCACCGGCATTCCATCAACTGAAGCTTTTAATCTGCTCTAATTTTTAATTAAAAATTTTTTTGGAAAAATTGAAATAAATAGGATTACAATTTTAAATAGTGAATGTATTAAAATTACAAATTTTTTAGAAATTTATTCTACTGATAATATTAAATGATATAAATTTTCTAATAAAAAATACAAAAATTGTATAATTATGTAGGTAGGATAATATAAGTTTAATAGTAAAACCATGAGTAGTTCGAGGTAGAAATATTTTTGTAACACTGAGACCAAGACTTATCGACTAGTAAAGCCGAGAACGAAACCAAAGTTCAAATCTGTACCCCGAGACCTAGATCCAAGATTTTTAAAATGTCTCGCCTCGAACTCGAGAGCCTTTAAAGCCTCAACCCTTAAACGCCTCGACCTCGAGCTACTCTAGTATAACCGGTCAAAAGTTTAATTTCTGAGCTTTTAATTGGGCATTATGTACAGATTTTCTCTTTCTGTTCAACTAAAGAAGCAATACCAAAGTGCGTGTATAACTCCAGGAATCCATCCAATAATAGTCAAAACAATATTTATGATAAAATGCAAAACCCATTCACGTCCTCCGTGAATAATAATTGCAACGGGTGGAAGGAATATAGCAAAAATGCATTCAATAACCTAAAAACTTTTGGAGTTTTAATGGTAAACGTTAGAAATGTTTTCCAACTTGTTGTGCAGTCCAACGACCATTACTCCTTTTAGTTCGAGTTAGTAGTCGCTCAAAGCTTTTCCCTTCACCGTCAACATTCTCAAGGTGTATAGCATCGCCATCCTGTAAAGTAAATAAGATCTCTAATAGAATAACCTCCATCCCTCCATTTAAATGCTTCCTCTCTAATCCCTCTCGAATAATTCAATCACCTTCCAGTCCTTTTGGAAGGTGATTGAAACATAATGTATGGGTTGATGTATTCCTTTAGTGATTTTACGGTAAGTAATAAACCAGAACTTTTTTTTTAATTCCAAGAATTTTAAATTTGGATAGTATTAATATCCCGATGTCTGTTAAGGTTTAGTTTCTGATCTGATTTTTAATTTTAGTGTTAAGTCGAATCTTTCCGGATTTTTTTGACTCTTGACTTGAACTGATGTTAGATACTATTATTTAAAAAAATTCTGATTTTTTTCTGAATTTTTTATTCTGATTTTCCTAGAATTCTGTTTTTCTTAGAATTCTGATTTCTAATCTTTTAAAGATTCTGATTTTTTAAAAAATCCACCTGCTGTGTAACTGAATGAGAATATGCTGAGGAAACTAAACAGGCAATTAAAAATGTGCTGAATAAGTATAAATGCATTTTTTTAATTTTCAAAAAATTCCTTTAAAATTTAATTTTTTTTTAATTTTTGTCTAAAAAAGTAATAAAAACGAGTATTAAAATGAGCCAATTATTTAGTTTAAAATTGGATAAAATTAAATAAATAAAATGATTTATTGTGCGCAAATAACAGGGCTCTCGAGATGAGTGAGAGAAATTTAAACAATTTTTATTATAAAATTTTATTTTCAAATTTATCAATAGACAAGTGAAAAAAGGCGTGTATTGTGTGGAATGTCTTATTTTAAAGTGTTTTATTCACTCAGTTGATTATCCTAAACAACGATCAAGTTTAGGGGTATTAGAGGCTCAAATGATTAATAAATGAACAATAGATGAGTGAATCAAGATGATGGTGTTATCAGTTAATCAGAGCTGAAAATATTATCAGTTGATAGAGTAAGAGCGAGGTAAAAATTTAATCCCGGGCAGGCTTCGATCCTGCGACCTCCTGGCAGTTATTGCTAGGTGCTTTCGCTCACCACGTACAGGGGCTCTACAGCTACCGGGACGTTGCTTTAACCTTCTCTTTTAATAGATCTTAAACCTCCGCCTAGTGAGCGGGGGTGATCTTTCTCTCCCTTACAATAGAAAATTAAATTTGCTATAGATTGGTAGAAAATCAAAATTTTTAATCAAAATATAAAAAAAGTTATGGCCCAAAATAGCCTTAGAAAAAGTAACATTTTTAAAAGGTGTGTGTTAGTTTTTTGGGTAAAAAATTTTTTTCTTTTATTTTTAAAATTTTAATTTTTATTTTATAGTGAATCCAATTCTCAAGAATATTTTAAAAAAAGAGAATTTCAAAATACCCCCTCCCCCCTTTAAGAGATATTTAAAAGAGAGACTAAATTGAACAATGATTCAACTGTTCACCATTGTTCATGTGTTCCTCCTCTCTCCCTTCCTTCCTCAATCTCTCCCTTCCCTCTTAAAAAAATAAATTTAAAAATACCACAATTGTAAATCATTCATTTCCCTTTTTTTAATGAAATTAATGTAGAAAAATTTAAAAAGAGAAAGAAAACATTTTTACAGCCACAAAAAGGCATCCAAAACCTCTCAAAAAATTGATAAAATGATTGAATGAGTGAATCATAGGCAATTGTTTTGCCCACAATTTTGTGTCAAGTTAACCTTTCCTTTTTTAATAAGAAAATAAAAATAGTGAAAAAACTGGTTTTTTGCCAGAATTAATTTTTTTTACTATTTATTTTCTATTTATTTTGAGGTATTCGACTGGAAGGAGGATGTGTGGTGTGTATGTGATTTTAAAGAATTTTTGAGAACAAATAAAATTTAATTAGAAAAATTTTTATTTTTTAATTAATTTTAGAAAAATAAAATTTTAAAAGGTTTAATAAATTATTTGAAAATAATTAAAATTTTGGAACAAGTCGGGAAATATCTCTTGGAACCAGCCGTGTCATTAGAGTCCTTGTTATGCCATGAACGGAAGGATCAATAAATATTTAATATTTTTAGTTAATATATACCGTATTCTTCAAATAGAGCCCCACCCTCAAATACAGCCCCACCCTTTATTACACCCCCACCTTGGAGGTTATTTGAAAAATAGAGCCCCATGGGGCTGTATTTGAAGAAATACGGTAATCACAAAGATTAAAATTTAAAATTTGGAGCCAGTTAGGTAGATTTCGTAACCATTCGGTAATTATTCTTGTAACCTGTCGGGCCATTAGAGTCCCAAATTGGCCATTAACAAAAGGATTAAAAACTACTATTTTTAGTTAATAATCCTATCGGTAAATTCGATAGAGAATTAAATTTACTATAAAATATAAAAAAAGATAATAATTCTGATAATTTGATAAAATTTGTGATTAAAAATATGACTATTTACATGTATATTTAATAATTAAAATAATTAACTTTGACAAAAATTAAAATAATTCCGGAGAGAAAGTCAGGAAAGTCAGCCATTCATTTTCGCCCAAAGTATAACTGGAATGAAAAAATAAATGAGAGAAAAAGCCTTCTAATCCCAAAGGAGATGGTCTCTCTCTCTTTTATTATCTGGCAGCAATACGTCTTTTTTTTAAGCCAACCGGGGATTTTTCTGAGCGCCAAAATGAGTGAAAAGGAGGGAGAAATGAGTGAAAAGCTTAGAAGGCCCCTATGACGCTCCTCTACCTCAAATTAAATTTAAAATCCATTTAACATTCCTTTCACCTCACATGCTTTTTTTAATGTGTTATGACTTGTGTCTCCTGAACACTTTTTTTATTTTTTCATTTGATTATGAGGGATTGAATGAAATTTAAAAATCAATATTTTAACTAGGAATTTAACAAAATTTATTTTTTTATAAAAAAAATTCTCGACAACTATGTATCGAGGGAAAGAAAAAATAGTAAATAAATAAATATTTTTTGACATTAAAAATTATTTTTGTTTACTTTTAGCTGTTGTTTACGACATTGTACTTTGATAAAAAATATTTAATAATTTAATAAGTAAAATTATAAATAGCTAGGGTTTGAGTATAGAAAATATGTTTTTTAATATTTCTAAATTACAGTACACATCAGGGATCTAGTCGATTTAATAAGAATTTCCTCATAACCCCGATATCCCTCTTACTCCCCGATATCCTTCTTAATCCCTCGATATCCCTCTTATTCCCCTTATATCCCTCTTAATCCACCAGTATCCCTCTTATTCCGCCAATATCCCTCTTAATCCACCCAAATTTTTCAGTATATCCATGTTAATCCTCCAAATGCCATCTTGGAGGATTGCCGCTGTTTTTTGGGTCGAAATCCTTAGTATCCGACATTTAAATATTTTTAAAAGACATTTAATATTTTCTTGTTTCCTTATTTTTTCCACTATTAATTGCATTGATGTTCTCTTTGTTTATTCCAAGTTATCCACAATTGGATCACAAATTTATTTTTTCTTTGTCCAAAAATGGATAAAATAAATACACAAATAAATTGCTCTCGAGAAAGTAGTTTTAAAAAAGAATGAAAAAGGAGTAAGTATTGAGAAGTCAAGACTTGAGACAAAAGAATTCTTTATTGATTAAGTTGGTTATTGTTATACTTAAATTGAGAATTGGATTTATTAAGTATATGAAGTATTAAGCTATTTTTAATTAATTAAAAATTTTTCTGTAAATTCTACAGTTAACAGACTAGGGATGTGCCCTTCGCCTCTTCAGCTTTCGTCTTTCACCGAATTTTTGTCTTTCTTTGGTGCCTTTGCCCGTCGATTTTTGAGATTTGTTTCAGCACACCACTACAACAGACCTACATATTTTAAAATATTTTTTTCAATTAAATATTTATTCCAATATGTTTAATAAAAAAGACAAATGAGGCATTCGAGAATGTATTTCATTTCCTCTGCGCAATATTTAAACAAAAGATGAGGAGCAAGTAAATATATGGGCATATCCGGAAAAGAAACTATAAATAAACCTATTTTTTGTTTAATTTTCTCAGCAAATTTAAAATAGGATTAGTTATGTTTTTAGTGTAGTAATAAACATTTTTGGGTATTTTAAAGTATTTTTTATTTATTACCAAACTTTTTTTTGTTTCAAAATATGTTGTAAAAAAGGGTAAAATATTTAAAACTAAACAAAAGAATTCGTGGATGCGAAGTAAACTTTAAGTCAGAATATTCTCACAAGGGAACATATGTTACTGTGAGTACGAATTTGATAAATTTTCTGGTACCATTCGATAGAGGACCCTCGATTTACTATTGTTATGTGCGGGTTTTCTTGCAAAATTAGTTTGGGCCGAGTTATGGCCGTTCAAAGTTAGACCGCTAGAGTCAGGAGTTATAGGGTAAGAAAACAATTTCTCTCTTATTTTCATACTCAAAAAACGGACACACCCATCTTCTCTTTATTTAGTGTCTAACATTTTTCCTCCCTTTTTTTTCCTTCGCGCCTCTTGCGTTCTCTCTCGGCTCCCCTACAAAGGATAGATGAATTAAAGGATAGATACACTAAAGGATAGATACGCCCAAAAACTATCAAAGGATAGATACATCAAAGGATAGATGCGCTAAAGGATAGATACGGCCAAAAGCGATCAAAGGATAGACAACTGAATAGGTCGTTTGAGTCTGGACAAAAATGTTTAAAAATCTGAATCTTTGCTGGAAAAACTGTTTTTGTGCTGCTACGGAAGGTAGGCCGGGCATGGTCTTCGCTACACGATGGCCGTGCTTCGCTGTGGTCGTGCTCGCTTCGCTCGCGGCGACCGTAGCGAAGCGGCAGCCGTCGTTCCGCTCGACATGCCCGGCTTCCTCCGCAGCGGCAAAAACTTTTTTCCGCGAATATCCTAAAGTACGAATAAAATAAAAATCAGAACAGAAACATGAAATCAGAACAAAGATCAGAAAAAAACAAAAAGATCAGGCACTCAACAGTTGGTACTCAACTGGACTCCAAACTTTATCTATGTTTTACACAATTTTAGACGTGTCTATACTTTAATGGATTTTACCCCTATCTATCCTTTGGCGCATCTATCCTTTGATGCATCTATCCTTTAATCGTTTTTTGCCTTATCTATCCTTTAGCAGCTTTTGGCCGCGTCTATCCTTTGATCGATTTTAGCCGTATCTATCCTTTGATTCATCTATCCTTTGAGCGGGCACGTCTCTCTCATTGTTGTAAAAGAAAGCAGAGAGAGTGAAAAAAGGACATAGTTCGCTCATTTTCTCTCTTTTCTCTTATTTTTCATCCTCAAAGAACAAGCCACGCCCCTTCTCTTTGATTATTGTGTCTGACATTTTCTCCCTTCTTTTTTCCTCGCGACTCTTGCATTCTTTTTTCCTCTTTCAAAATAATGTGAAGAACGCAGAGAAGTGAAAAAAAAGTTATAGCGCGCTTATTTTCCCTCTTGCTTATACTCAATCAATCCCAAGGACTGAAACTTTGAACGGCCATAACTCGGCCCAAACTAATTTTGCAAGAAAACCCGCAAACTACAAGAGTAAATCGAGGGTCCTCTT